CCATTTAAACAAAACTAAAAGTAGTTCATAGGGGTTATCTTACGTTTCCCACAGTTTAACAAACCACTTCTTGTTCTGCTTCCAGTATCAATAAAACTTTACATTTTCAGTTAAGATATGCGAAAAATCTGACGTCACAAATCCAAGCTGCTAGTGTTTTAATGCCCTTATCAGTGCTTTCAAACGGTATTTGAATTCAGGTTATGGGAGCGCCCAGCTGGCCTTGCTGATGTGCGTACGTCATCACAGAGCCCCAATTCAACTCCGAGGCCTCCGCTGCTTCCTGTTCATTATCACAAAGCTTTAATTCTGAAAAACTCAAATCCAGACAGTTTGGCACCGAGACGCACGAGGTGGGCAAAGGAGGTGCCTTCGCCATCTGTGGCATATGTCACGTTTGTTTGAGAATCTTCCATCATTTTGTGCTGAGGAGTTTTGACACCCACCTACATGTCACTGACAAACTGCATGTGGGATGGAGTGTGTTCACAGATGGAACCATACTGAGTTGATCCGCGCACTAGTAAGAGATATCAGGTTCTCTAGCACTACCATGGCGCAAATGCACTGATTGTATGTTGTGTACTTGTATAACAAATAGAGTGAAAATACTAGTATATTAATTCAAATAATTACATAGACAGTTGTGCCATGTAAAAGCAGGCCTAACTAATCAAGCAACTTCGGAAAACAAAATAAAACTAAAATATTAGCAGATCATTCTTAGAACTATTGTATACTTTGATATAGTCTCATTGTGGTTTTCTCTGTCGTCACATTATAGGCTGTAGTTCATTCATTTTACCAATTGGCACTCACTGTTTAAATGGAGTGAATGGCGCTGCAGTTCTAGGAGTCAAGTGGTGCTTGTTATTTTCAGTTTCCGACAAACCATATTGGTAGTGGCACTCATCATGGATAACACACAAAAAACACGTGGCGTCACATGAAGCCTATTGAAAAGGTTTTAATGAGAAGATCGCTTTTTATAGTAGCCTTTTCAAGAGAGATAAATGAAGTAATAAATAACCTTAATTTAATTTAGTACAAGATTAAAATAATACTAATATGAAGTATTTCTGAAGTGCATACCAAGGTTTTTGCTGTTTTGAAAACTCTGAACAGGTCTTTCCCACTCTTTAAATAAACGGTGTTCATCCTGGAATAGAACCATCATGTCTAGTCTCACTCACTATGATAAAGTGCAAAGGTTGCACCAGGAGAATGGAAAATAAAGTACTTTGGTCTTGGGTCAAGAGCAGGTAGAGTCAAGAGTTATTGTTAAAGTATAGTGTCTATCTTATTGCATGAAGGTCTAGTCTAGTTAAATTTAGACCTGGCTGAGGGCACACTGATTTGGTGTCAATGAGCAACAGCCCCGTCTACCCAGAGACAATGGTGAACCATCTGTGGAGCATCCATGGCAGGACTCCAGTCAGGATTCATATTCACACTGCTAACCATCTACACAGCACATGTAGGAGGATAGAGCTAGCAGACCACGCTTCGAGCACTATAATGGGATACAGCACACAGACAAGGTAATATAGATTGTTAACGTCCCACACTGCTCCCACACAAACATTTTCACCAAAGATCCACTCAGTGATGAACCCTGGGACAGTCCAACATGGAGGAAGTGAATCACTTTTTCCTTATGGCAGGTGTGGGCAGGAGAGATGCAGATGAGGAAACACAAATGAAGAGTGAAAAGGTAACACAGACCCAGCCTCCAGTATTGTTGAGTGAATACCCTTGTTTGTTGGTCAATGGACATTAGACTGGGCACAATGTGTTACATTAGTCATTGGTAATATGACCCTATTAAAGTTGGGCGCTGGTAAATATGCAGTAACTTCAAATACAAGATATATATAATATAATACTAATGGTACAGTCAAACTTGTCTATGAATAAATTAATGTTTTATAACGCCAAAACACATTTTCATAATATTGAGGAAGAGTGCCTAAATGTAGGTCATTTCTGGTTTTGGCGGTGAGGTGTGGCACTGAAATATTTACCGCTGTGCACAGAGTGAGAGTCAGTGTGGGAGTAACCTCTGATTTCGACATGTGACTTAAGTTTTATATTTTTAATTTTTTTCATATTTAATATTTAATCTTGAGTACAATAAACATGTCTATAATGAGCAAAAAGTTACAGACTATGACTTTAACTGTGATTGTTCCAGGTGATCTTTAGCATACAAACCACATAACTACACTCACAAAATAAACACTGACCCTTAATAAATACATTGTGTTACCAGTTTCCATTTAATTATTTAATGTTGATCCAAAATGTAAAATATTTAAATGTATTATAAGATTTATTATAAGGTCAAATTTTCATTATTTGAGTGAGCAGAAGATGATACACTGTATTATCTGTCATTTATTATCTACACTGTCATTATAGCTCCACTCTCTTCCTGATCATGCTTTTACGGGGATCAGATTTTAATTGATAAAAGAATTTAAATTCTATGGCCACAAATGAACAAATGTATATATACTGTATATTTAATTTTTAACACAAAGATCTTTTCATTGATTTGATTATAATGCCTTGTACTTGCATTTAGCTGTTAGCTGTCTCTCTATACTGTTGTCATAACTCAGTCTTTTTACATCTGGTGAAGGTACTTCTGCAGCTAGAGCTGCCCTGGGGTAGACTTAAAAAAAGCAAGGCTGCCAGTCTGAGCAATGCTCTGACCCCCAACAATCACCATTCACCACCAGTGTCTGGCCCAAGAACACAGCAACAACATACTGTGGTCAGAGCCGGGATTAAGCCTCGCCAAACCACTCCATAAAGCATATGAGCAAATGTGTGAAGTGGCTTGCCCATGGACAAAATGGCTTATGTAAAGTTAAATAACTACATTTTAAATGACCATTCTATTTTGACCCTTTTCCCATCCAACTTTTACACTGTCTGTTAACAGTATAGTATTTCTGGAAACTGTTAAGGACTCCATGATTAGCCTCAGATTGTGACCTCAGAATGTGACCTCAAATTAGCTTCATAGCTTTGTTTGTGGCCCAAAGTTTAAATAAATATTAATAATATGAACTGATTTCATGTTTTTATATATTCATGTTACTCACTGCTTGCGCCTTGGGCCCACACAGGATCTGTTGCTCTAGACATATTTGGACATTGGTGATGGGGATGATCATAAGTGCCTCCTCCCTGTACTGGGGAATCCTACTGGGGAATCAGTGATGGCGTTGCACTGGCGTCACACTTGTTTACTACATAAAATTATAATCAAATGTTATCAAAGACACGCACACACATCTAGTGTATTAATAAATAAAAGATTTTGAAAAAAGTCCCATGTTTTACTATAAGCAATGCTAAAGTTTAAAGCTATAAACAAAAACTTTGAACAGAAAATAATCATATATTAGCCTATTTAGGCAAATATGCCTGTATGCCCGCTGCCCGGGTTGACAGATGGCATCAACTCACACCAAATGAGGCTCGATTTGATAGGCCACTTGCTCTTCTAATGTGGCAACCTGTTTTTCTATATGAATCTCATCACACCTCAAACCTTGTTCCATATGTAGCTCCAAAGGGGAGGAACAGGGTGGCTCAGACACCACTGTAGCATAAGATCCGATGAGTAATGCCAAAGTTTGATTCTTGAAGTTCACATTAACATTTTTCACTGTAAAACTCAAATAAATCTCAATAAAGACCAAAGAGACAAGTATCTGTGATGATTTAAAAGCTAAAAAAAATCTTTTCTTTTTTCATGCAGACCTAAAAGAAGTAGGAATAGTTTTATTTTCTTCACAGCTCATCATACGCATCTCCCTTGTTTTTATGTATTTATTCATTTGTAAAATATAATCACACATTTTGACTATTGTTCATTAGCCTGTATAAAAAGTTAATATGTGGAACTCGTATTTAATCAATAGCAATACATTATATGAGCTGACGTAGCCTACTTTGATGTTATATGTAAGACTAATTGTCCTTCAAGCCAGGTTTTGCTTAGGTAAAATTGGTATAGCCTAACTATTGTCAGACCTTTAGTATGATATCATAGCTGTGACCTTTGACCCCTCTTATCGCTCTCCCCTCTGGAGGCATAGAGCCATGTCACTGTATCACAGCAACTCTCTGAATGTGTGAATGGAAGATTTCACTCTGCAGGTTTATGATAATGTGCCACCAATATTTGGATGGAGAGCTTTATTTGTATGGAGGCTAAAAACATGTGCAATATGGACTCCCCTCTGGAGCCAGGCAAGACACAGACTCCCTGTTAATAACATCGTACTATGTCATGAAATAGCCACAAGGTTTATTTACAAATCTTCAATGTAATATTTTCTATCGGACTAGACCCATTAACTTGCTATGTTACAGCAAAAATCTACATTTAACCTGTATTTATTTTAGCTGCCATCCATCTGTATTAAATAATATTGGCCTATAGAATGCTGTGATGTCAACTGAAACTCAGCAAAAGGGCAGCTCTGCCAGTGAAACAAGAGCTTTAACTTTTCTACTGGTGGGCTTGCCCTGAATGACACCTTGTAAATAAATAACAGTGTATAATCCAGTCAAACACATTCTGCAGAATGCATAGGAAAATGTGTAATTATGTAAACGAGCACATCTGAGCACTGCTGGTGAAATTCCGCAGTGCCTGCAGATAGCGGCTCACTGCTGCTGCTCGGGCACACACTTGTATAACCGTTTAGATAACCGTTTCATTCACCGGCAGCGTCTCACGCAAGACGTAAGCTCCACGTGAAAGAGGCGAGTCCTTATATAAAATGAGTGGCGGCACCGCGGATAAGCCTCTGAGATGAGCGGCTCCTAACGGTGAAAGCGCTCAGAGAAACCTGCTCTGTCATTGGCCAGGAGAACTATGACGAAAAAGAGAACAGGATATTGACCAATCAGAGAGTCGCTAAGGCGGGGTTTGAGAGGAGCTAGAAATGAGGTCACTGACTACGCTGGCACCGGAGCACTGCGCTACAGCCGGTCAGAGTGAAACCTGAATGGGAGGACAGTGCGCACACTGAGTCGGTTCGGTCCGGGACTCGAGACACCTCTATCTCTGGTCAACTGGGACTCTGCAGTTAATGTCACAACAACAAGGCTTATTTTTTCTAAGACAGCACGCTAACTAAACGAGACACTCAACCGGTCTACTTTTGTGAGGTAAGTGCATTTTTACTCACATCCGTGCTGAGTGGAGACTGTTAGCCTGACATTTGAACCTCTAAGTCCTGCCAAACGAGTGGAAGGGCATAAGGATGAAACGTGTAGTTGCATAACTGTGTTAAAAAGTCACGGTCAGTAGACTATAGTCAGATCCATCTGTCAGAGTCAGCAGCCTTCCCATAGAGTCACAGCAGGCGACTTTGAACAGACTTGAGCCTTGTATAATAAGTTGTGGAGTAATGACACCCTTTGCCTATGCTATACGGGTTTTAAAGACCTAAGTACTGAATTTCCTTTGGGACCAATAAACTATCTATGTATCTATTTAAACATGGGTGCGTTTGTTTATACGGCACAATGCACGCACGCTCACGCTCCGTTCATAGGATGTTCCAGACGGTCACAGGGTGCACCAATGAATGCTCAATGAAACACTGAGTAACGCCTTACATAAAGTGCGCTACAACGGCACATGGCTGAAGTTCATGCAGAGGCGCTGGTCCAGAGCGGGCTGGCTCAGCTGCTGGTACATACCGTCACCATGACGCAGCGGCGGCTGGGCTGAGGGCGGACCTCACCTCACAGGACAGGGACAGTGTCGGTATGCAGTGTTTCCTACGGTGTGGATCATGTGGTACCGTATTTGTTCCACTGTAGCCCAGCAGGGTTCATTTGTTCTTCATCATTGTTAGATTTACATGGTGTTTCTGGATGTTCAGAGTCTGATATCGTTTTTTTCTGCTTATTACATCTCCACTCATAGTCTACCAACAAAGTAATACACAAAAGGTTTCACATAGCAAGATTTATTTAACGCATATGGTCAAAGTTGTGGATGATGCGCATGCTCAGTGACAGGCTCCCTGCGTGCCCTACAAACTGCTATTATATAGTTGTGATAAAAATCCATGCCACGGCTGTCTAGGTGAGCCCATCACTAAGCAGATAGTTTACTGTTGGCATCTAAAAGTTGAGCTTATTGGCATAACTGGTCCCATATAATACTATAATATTGAGGTAGTGGTGTTTAGTCCACTGACTATCCCATTCCAAGCAAAAGTCCCTTATTTAACTGTGGCACGTTTCTTGAAACAGGACACTGAGAAGAAAGGGAGGAGTGATGGAGTCTGACGTAAGCAATGCTAGAGGAGCAAGGCTATTGGTTCCAGTGTAACTTTGGCTCTCGTCCAGGTACATGGGAACATTCACTGTTGCAACTCTCAGCATTTCTTTTCATTTAATTTTATGGAATCTCATGGAAAAATTACACTTCAGTGAGAGAATTTGCTTAGGTTAAGGTGGCCAAATCTATTTTTATCAAGCTGGAAAAAGTACCCTAGCTTTCAACTCTTGATTATCCTTTGGCAGTTTGTTCTTTAAAAAGTAGGTCAATGACAGAGGAGCCATAAAACGAAAACCAAGAATGTAAAAGTTGCCAGACCACTATTCATGAAGAGAAGGGCAATCACTGCACATCAAAAAGTAGATAAGAAATAAAGTGTGCCAACAAATTTTATTTTATGTTTTATTACAGCTTCAAATTAAATGCTCATATTGCCTTCTTGACACCTGTCCAAATTTATGTAATGTTTTGGACATCTGTATTAATAATGTGCTGCATAAGAGACAGTTATAAAGCTCTGGTCCCATTGGTAATCTTAACCACAAACATTTGAGACCTTAGATGATCTTGACAGCGCTGAGCAGATTATTGAAGACTCAATTTGAATTTTGCAAGGGAATATATAACAATGGAAATTTCTCATCCAGATAAGAGTATTACAAAAGTCACAGGCATGTCCAGGCCTGGGGAAGAAAAGTTTTTGTAATATTGTTTTTTACTTAATAATGAAAAACAAACAAACAAACAAAAACATAACTGGACTGGTAATTCTAAATATCTTTTCTATGTTGCTTCTGCCAAACTGTGAATTTTCCTTGGGGTCAAGTTTATCTATCTACATATAAGGTCTAAATCTAAAAGGCCTATTTATAATCTGCTATGTTCCAAGTCCAATTATTTGTCTTTGTGTGGAAATGTAATAAACCTCACGGTATTACTTCTTGCTAATTGTATACAAGAGCACTTTAATTTCATTGCTCCAGTCACATACTGAATGTCGTTTATCTGTTGTGATGTTTCCAAGGAACAATTTAGCACCATGTTCTCAGGAGGTTGAGATGTTGGAGATTTTGATCACATTGAATTACTTTAAATGGCCACAACAACAAATGGACATTGTGTTATTTTTCCATCCAGGCTTGTTAACTACCATAATAACATGAACTTAACCACTGCCAAGGGGATCAGAAAAACTGGATCTGGGAGTTGTGACGTCAGTTGATCAGATATTAAAGACATTGTAGATTGTCATTGCAGTTATTGAATCAGGTGTGATCTCAGATTGCGTCACTCAGGGGCCTTGGGCTCTGAAGTCGCAATAGGATGATAGCTTTTAGATTTGGCCAGGCCTTTTAGCTCACTATGTGACTACAACAATAGTGAGGGCATTTCTAGCAGGGTTTAATAGCAATCATTTACTAGCCAAAGTAAATATTTTATTATAGTGTAACTTTCTAAACCTCTCTGTAGTCTCTATGGGATAGACATGTTTATTATATACTAAATTATCTGACATGCCATTTATATCATGAGAAAATGAAAATAAAGTAAATCAGTAAATCTGTCAAATCATCCCATCTGGGATGTGTGGTTAAGTCTTTTGGACCTTGGCGAGTGTTATAAAATGATAAGAGGTCATTGATGCATGCCTAACCTTGTTACTTTTAACCTACTGTTCCAATGCAGACGTTTGCTGCGTCTTTTTAAGAGCTGTGAAATATGCTGAGGCAAATTATTCACCATCATTGTGCAAAAATTTGAAGTGATTTGTAGATGGTACAGTTAGTTACTTATTTGATAAAGTCCAAGTTTGACCAATGCCACAGATTCTATAGAAGCACACCCAAATTATGCTGTAATCAACATTAATAAAACAATGAGTTTTTCTTTTGTTTGAATGAGCTTTACCAATGACAATTGCAAATATTTGCCTTAACCCTGTTTCTATGTCATATCATTTATTGGATCATGAGGTCTAGACTGCTGTCACCTGGACAGCCACATGCACCAAACCGCACTCAAGGCAATATAAGGTATTCAGCAAGATTACAGTGTACTGTGAACCATATAATTACACAAGAAGTTTATACGCAACATTAGACAACCTGTAATTCTCAAGTAGAGTAGACTCAAAATTGTTCTCAAATTGTTCTCAAAAGCCTATATGATGCCACAGTGTAAAAGGAATGTGCAACATAAGAATAATGAAATATGGTCTTTTTTGGTTTAGAATGATCTGACATGGATTTCCTCAATCTGAATCTGAATCTTAAATACACCATTAGTTGAGCGTCACAGGAAAACCCTACGTAAAAGATGACTGAGTACATATGAGCCATACGCCCTCACACCGGCTTGGTTACCTAAAATAAACACACGCCCACACCAGTGCAGAATTCGGTAGACCAATCTGCACTGCACTGTTTTTTAGTGAGAGAGGCAGTTAGGCGTTTTTCCATTACACAGGAATGCCAGCATGTGGTTTGAGCATATGCCAGAGACCGGCGTTATACCCTGACTTTAACTGTAGATAGGATGAAGAGGTGCAGGTCAGTGTGTTGAGAATGAGAACAGAGAATGGGAACAGTCGCACGACATAAGGTCTGACTGTAGGACTATGCAATTCATAAAATTTTAATTACTAAATTTAAATTCAATCATCGCTAATCAGTGATATGCTTGTGGCCAAGCCTTCTTGTCAAAGCCTGATCTCATCAGATCTCAGAAGATAAGTAGGGCTAGGCCTGATTAGTACTTCGATAGGAGACTGCATGTAAGTGTAATGCATTATTCTTATTATAAGCCAGTTACATTTACAGCCAGTTAGTAAAATCATTTGAGGAGAGATCACATTCTGAAGGAATACATTTGACTAGTCCAGAAAATTACCTCTCAGTAATATATTTGCTTTATTTTAATGTATTATAATTGATCAATATGAGAGAAAAAAATTGTGACAATTGATTTTCGTCATATTGTCCTGCCCTACCTCACTGTGATGCACACAAATAATTAAATGTCATTATACATCTTATTAAAGTCTTAAGCAGCAAATGAAAGTATTCAATAACTGTTTAGGAATGTATTTATTGATAGTAAGAAGATTAATTCCAGCTCTTACCACATCCTCATTCTCAAATTTTAACCACTCATATTAACTGTCACAAAACTTTGATTAAATATAAACTAAAAAAAGTCAACTAAATGTAGGATACCACCATGTGCTGTTTCTATAAATACCTAGTACTTTTTATAAGATCAGTTGAACACAGTAAGCCAGGTGCCTGTGGTGGGATTACCTTTTAGGATCTGTGCCTCTTTGAAGAGTACATAGGACCTACTGCTCTTTGTAAATGCTACACAGTCTGTGAGCTCTTCACTTCAGAGAGGCACCTGCAGTGTTACTAGAGTTCAAAGGTTAAGTGCAGTGTGTATGATCCCAGGTCAGTCAAAACACAGACAGCTTTGAACCTCAGGCCTAGATATTTGGCCTAGTGTAACATCTTATATTTCTTACCTTTATCTACATTGTACAAAATGCTATAGGTGAAAGTGTTGCTTCTGTGATTAAATCAAGAAATCATTTAAATGATGTTTGTAAATATGTCTCCGCAGGTAAATCCACTTTGCCCCCAACTGCCACAACCCCCAGTGAAGATGGGGTGATGCTCTGTAATTCCTCTCACCACCATCTCTCCTGATGTCAGAAGACTCGAACTCAAAACCCTATTGCTTCCCTGTGCTGGAGGGGCAGGATGGACCTCCATCGTGTAGCTCCATGGGGCAGCTGCACAGGATGGGTGGCTTCAGCCAGGGGGGACCCAACCTAGGCCTCCCTTCAGAGGGCAGTGACAGCAGTGGCCTGGACAACTCCACCTCACCACAGAACCATCGCAAGAATGCCCGCTCCCGCTCCCTGCCTGAGGAGGACATAGAGATGAAGAGCAGCGGGTCCAGCGGCAGTGGCACAGAGTCACACGGCAACGAGAGCCACGGCAACGAGAGTCACAGCAATGACAGCAACGGCCACGAGTCCATGGGCAGTTCCAACGGCAACAGCAAGGACTCGGTCCTGCTGGAGTCTTCAGGGAGTAACAAAAGGTCAGGCATAGATTTGAGTTAAGCAGTGTGCGCTACAGGTGTTACCTCTGATCATAGTGGAGACACGGACAATAGGACCTGTGAATAGTATGACGGAGTAGGAAAGAGGGATTGGCAGAGAAAGTCAACTTTGGTTTGTTTTCAGATTCTAAATAGTGGTGATCTCACCCTTTCAGGTTGGGGCATGAAAAACATCCAAACCTTACATCTACAAATGATCCTGTTTGCTAGTGTCAAGTGTTCATCATCATTTTAAAACTAATGTGGGCCGAACCCTAATATACTCACTCTTCACCTTCTCTTTTCAAATTGATATCAAATTAAACAAAGGGCAAAAGGGACAAATGTAAGAGTTAAACCACCAAAACAAGATACATCCTGGATTACATTAAGTGATGTAGCATATTTTATTATGAGCACTATGTTCCAGCTGTATATTGTTAGGCATCATGACTTTCCAATCCGATTTGTTAACAAATTCATATAGCAGTACCTCACACACTCCACCGGAGGAGCTGGAGGAAGTGTCTGGGGTGAGGGAAGTCTGGGAATTCCTGATTTGACTGCTGCCCCCACGACCCTGACCCCAGACAAGTGGAAGCAAATTGATAGACTGTACTGTTTACATGTTTTTTCTCATAGTTTAATGGAACACCCAAAGAGTTATGACTATTTTACTAGACAGACAGTACATTTTTCCACTCAACTAGGAAACCATGATGACACTAACACTGAGCTCTTTAAAGTCAAAGGGGGAATGGTATTGGTTGGTTAACTGAGTCTGCCTTGACCTAACCTCATCTCTAAATAACATGGTTACAGTGTGTTAAGATACAGTCAGTGACATAGAAGAACATTTCCTTCTTCAGACGTAAAAAGGAATAATAGTCACAGTAGGAACTGATGCCATCTGGAGCTCGGAAAGCCAAGGCCTAAGTCAAGCACTCTTTATTGTCCTAGCAACGCTTTGTTTAAATGTGTTTACGCTGAGAAGTTCGTACACGTGCTTGCGTCACTTCTGGCCAAGCCCACATTTTTAGTCAATGGACCTTTTAGACTCGCACGCGACTGTGACTGTTCTGGGATAAAGAGGGTGTTATAGTACAGTTATCAGTCAATCAAATAATCAGTCCAGCAGTGCATCAACATATTTATCATATCATTTGAAAATATCACAATTGTCTATAATGAACATTTATTTTATTTTTAAAGAGCACATAAAATAAAACAAAAATATAACAAACTTTCAAATAAGGATAGAAAGCAATATTTCTATACTTGGATACTGTGGATAATTTTACAGTCCTCACACTTTTTAACACACCTTTATTGTCATCAGTGTATTTAAAACAAAGTGATGTTTATTTTTGGTCAATAAAATCCACCAATAATGAGTGAACCAGCCTATCATGCCCTGTAATGAGGGTGATTAGTTCAAGTCTTATGCATGAGCTGAAAGGACAGGTAGGGTTTAATCTGGCATAATAATAAATGAGAACTATTTAGACTGAGTTAGTCTGAAGGTCGAAACTAAAAAGGGTTTCGTGGACTCTTTCAGCCAGTGCAAACTCCCTGAGCCTCTTTTAGTGTCAGGTTTTCCACTACACTAGTTATACGCCACAGAGCATTAATTAGCCAAAATAAGCTGTCTCAGTCTTATTTCAATACATGCCCAGACTGTCTTGTCTAAATCCAGCTGTAGCATCCCGTAGTTTTCACCGATAAAATTAACATACTTAAACAACTAACTAGACTGTGTGACTATTTCAGCCCAAGTAATGTTATTTTTAAACATATAAGTACTCTATATTTAGGAACCAAGGTTGTAGTGCAAGTGTGTCATTAACCTCAAGCAGCTGATAACTAGATTGACTTTAGTGGTTAAGTGGACAGTGTGAACTGAAGATTCACCAACATCCCACATGTCTGATGGGCAATGACCTACTTGTACCACAATATATAAGGGAAAATATAGTTTAAATGTTTTTATTCCAGCATTGAACGGTGGTGTGAGCTTTATTTTTTAGTAAAGCAGTGACGACATGATCTAATTAGGGCGTTGAGCCTTGTGAGTGAAGCTTAACAATGGGACAAAAGGCCCAGAACAGCCCTACTCTCATTTTAACAAGAATCTGGCAGGGGTCCTAATTAGAGTTGTATTCTGGCCTCTAAGTGCTTCTGTATTAAGCTTTCCCACAGTGCACCCTTTTGGCCATGGTCCACTTAGCATCCATAAGAAGGTGAGACTGACCTGAGGTTATAAGTAGCCTGCCTTTTGTGCTGTGGCTCAGAGTATTACCTTTATATTACTGGGTAAATTAAGCAGTGCAATCTCAGATGAATAAGCAGGGGATGTGTTTTGAACACATGTTTTGGGAAATGTTTGCTGCTGTGTGTGTTTTGATTCCACTATTTTATTTTTATTTATGGTTGAATGACTGGGGCAATCATCAGTTGACATTGTAGATCGCCAAGTTTTGAGTACAAAATTTATGGTGGAAAAAACAGACCTTCACTTAACCTCACTCCAGCAGAACATTATATACTGTAATCATATTCATTTGTAACTTGAGATATCCAAGATCATTTAATCATGAAATTCTTCCACCTCTGTAGGAAAAAAAACTGTTTATATTTTATTTTAACATAAATAAATATTCTGTAAATTTAAAATGTCATGTCTTCTTTTCCAGCTCAAACTCTCACAGCCCATCTCCACCCAGCAGCTCCAATGCCTTCAGCTTACTCAGTTCAGAGCAAGACAACCCATCCACCAGTGGCTGCAGGTACACCATAACTCACAGTTCTCCAGCCTGCTCATAAAACCAAACCTCTATCTATACTAATGTGAACTGTTCACTTACATGCTCTCTTCCTGTCTGTGCCACTTACAGTAGTCAGGAGTCCGCCAAAGCCAAGACACAGAAGGAGGTGATAAAAACTTTGAAAGAACTAAAGCTTCACCTGCCCACCGAGAAGAGGCACAACAACAAGTCCACAACCCTGAACACCCTCAAGTATGCCCTGCGCTGTGTCAAACAGGTGGAAGGTAGGTGCTGCCAGTTTGAATATTGTCCTGTGTAGTTTGCATTAGATTATCCCAATTCTTAAGTATATAAATGCCAGTGCAGAAAATGTGAGTTGCTTTCCCTAATGCCCTAATTCCCTTATTATTAGATGAGTTACTGTTTTACCAAGAATCTTTCACTTTTGGCATTATACATGTCTATCTTCATGGAGACAAGCAGGTGGCATCACTTTAAGGTCAGATCAGTGGAGAGGCGAGCTTGCTCACAGAGAGAATGCATAGGGCTCTTTTTAGATAGTATGTTATGATAGTCTACTCCCTTTAAACTTAATACATTAAACTTTATTTTTGCTTTGTGTTGTTTCTGTTTTTCCCCTTTCAGCCAATGAAGAATACTACCAGCTGCTGATGACCAATGACAGTCAGCCTTCAGGCCTTGATGTGTCCTCTTATACAATAGAGGAGATAGACAGCATTACTTCTGAATACACTCTTAAAAACAACGTGAGTTACTTTACGTTTTTGCAAATACAATATTGTAGTGCATGGATTACACGTGTTTTGTCTCTCTCTCAACAGGACATTTTTGCAGTGGCTGTCTCCCTCATCACAGGAAGAATAGTCTACATATCCGACCAGGCTGCCACTATTCTCAACTGTAAAAGAGACATCTTCAAGGACACCAAGTTTGTGGAGTTTCTGACACCGCAGGATGTCAGCGTTTTTTACAGCTTCACCACACCGTACCGCCTGCCGTCCTGGAGCATGTGTACGGGAGCAGGTACTTACTGTAGTTCATTTGTATTAGTATTAATTCATTTATATTAGATAGAACTAGAGGTAGCATCTCAGTTCTTCTTTGAGTGCAGAGGATGGTTAGGGTAATGAATGATGATATCAGATCTGCTCTCAATATACAGTATATTGTTTGTATATTAAAGGCCCTGTATTATGCAAAATTGACTCCAGCGAGATTTAAGCCATGTTAGAATGTTGTTACCTCATCAAAAACATACCTGGAGTTGTGTTTTGTTTTATTCACACATGTTTGAGTAATCTTGTCTCCAAAACTCCAAAGCTCAAAATGCTCTGTTCCACATTGTGATGTCATGGGTGGTGGTACTTTTCAAGTTAACAGCTATCTTTTACCTTTTGTTTAGTAGAGATTGGAAATTTCAGGCCAACTCAAACATGCTCCATAGTTAGTTCTCCAGCTAAGGTAGTCCTGACCAAGCCTAGCAACAAGATCATGGAGGTGGCCGCCTCATTTGTTGTGCACTGCTCCTGAAGGATGGGTGAAAAACAGAAGACAGTTTCCTTATGTGGACAATAAAGTACTACAAAACAATATGAAAAAAACTACTTTCCAAATAATTCTAGAAAACACAGTGGAGTACTTCCTGTATTACCACATGACATTACAAGGTGGAACCAAGTGTTTTCAGCTTGAGAAAAGATCATGGCCTAAATATCCAGAGTTTGTGTGTTAAACATGTGAATGAAATAAAATAAAACTCTAGATATGTTTTTATGAGCAAGCAACATTATAACATAGACCAAAAAATAGCTTAATATGGGCAGTTTAAGTTTAGATAATGAGATGGTTTGAGCATGCAGTTGAGAAAAACTTCGAAATAATTATTTGGATTTAAGTTGTCGTCTAGATTGGATTTAACTGATTGACATATTTAGCTCTCTTAACTTGTTACATGACAAGATAATTTAGCTCAGAAGTGTTTTCTTTTTGAGTGAAAAAAAACATTGGCAAATTTAAACTTGCTAAAAAAAAAAAAAAAAAAAGATTAAAAAACAAGAGTTTATTTTTAGATGTAGTGTAAGGAGAGATGGTGAACCCTGTGAACAGCCAAAGAAAGATGTATATGTATAAATTCCACTAACTTAGGGTCAGAGGTAAAATGTGGTAGGTAAAAAGGGAACCTGTGCATGCACTTAATGAATTTTAGTTCCTGGTACACTCATCTCCCGATGGTCATTCAACAGTTAATGTCGGAAATGAAAAATTATTTTTTTTATAGACTTTTGGAAAGAGAACATTAGCTGGAGAATGAAGTACTGTCCATGACCTTTACTTTTTATACTTATTACCCAAACTAGAAATAGGTTCAAAAGCAATGAATGAGAGGAGGGGGCGGGGGCATTATCGTCATCAATAATGAGTAATTCTTCGTAGGTGCTATCACACGTTTGCACAATGTTTTATTATTAGACTTGAAAATGTTTCCTCAAATACAACTCCTTCACACACTTTAAGCCTTTGCTCACCTCATTGCATGTTAAAACACCTGTTGGAGATGACATTACTTACAGCATCCTATTGCCTTTCAATAAAAGCATGTTTTCCCCTATTTCAGAGTCCTCTCCTTCTGACTGTATGCAGGAGAAGTCCTTCTTTTGTCGTATCAGGTGAGTGAATACTGCTTAGCCCCACCCTCAGACCATCTGCTCCCCGTGGATAGTAGTAATTTATATTCATACTATTCATTCCTCTCTGGGCGCTTGTCATCTGTTTGTGACATCACTGGCGTACGTGCTCTAATCTGAACTAGTTTCCAGGCTAATATCATACATAAATTACAACACACCCACGTAAATACACAAAGTATGTCGATTTTGTGGTAATTGTTAATAATACAAAATCTTTTTCACCTGGTGCTGAATTTAACATACTGAGTCTTCATACTTCATACATAGTGGGTTTGTGCTGCCCTCTACTGGTAATTTTATAGATTGCATGTTTTTGAAGAAGATCTTACATGTATGAGGTGGGTGAAGATTGGGCGTAAGTGAAAACAGGGATTTTGTTTTAGCACTCAAGACTCAATTACAGCCCATGAAAGTAGATTTAATAAAAAGTATAATAATACACAATACAATATTGTGAAAATATGATACTAAACTACTGAATTTAAAATGGCATACAGTGGTGGGAAGGAGTGTGAAGGTGATCTGCAGTACTATCCGTTTCGAATGACGCCATATCTGATGAAGGTCCAGGACACTGTACATGCTGAAGACCAGTTCTGCTGCCTCCTACTGGCTGAAAGAGTTCATTCAGGCTATGATGGTAAGAGCCTTATCACAATGCGCTGTTAATAAATAAATGGTGTAACTGGCATAACTAATGAATGCATTGTTTAAATATTTTAGCACCCAGGATTCCAACAGACAAGCGCATTTTTACTACCACACACTCACCCAGTTGTGTTTTTCAAGATGTGGATGAGAGGTAAGTCTTGTCATAATATTTTAAGTTTTTTTTGCATGTTTTTTTTTTTATTTATATAGGTGCAGAAAATGTATAATGTATTTTTGTTTTATAGAGCTGTCCCACTTCTTGGATACCTTCCCCAAGACTTGATTGGCACCCCAGTTCTCCTGCATCTTCATCCCAATGATCGTCCAATTATGCTGGCCATCCATAGAAAAAGTAAAAAATGCAACAACTTGAGAAAAATGTGTAACATGTCAGAAGATGTCATTTAAATTTGATGATTTGATTTTGTTTTTGTGCAGTTCTTCAGTATGCTGGACAACCATTTGACCACTCATCTATACGATTCTGTGCACGAAATGGTGAATACATTATCCTTGACACTAGCTGGTCAAGTTTTGTCAACCCTTGGAGCCGTAAAGTGTCCTTTGTCATTGGAAGGCACAAAGTTCGCATGTGAGTTTTCATATAAATAAATATATTTATGAATAATGTTGTTAATTTTACATACAGTTTCATTCAAAGCCTTCAAGTCTGTCATTGCAATTAAGTCTTTTTTTTTTTTTTTTTTTTACACTTTTAGGGGCCCTGTGAATGAAGATGTGTTTGTGGCACCTGTCTCCGCCACTAGGGAGATAAAAACAATGGATCCAGACATACAAGATATAACCGAGCAGATACATCGCCTTCTTTTACAGGTGAAAAAAATATACACTTTAATTACATTTTGACAGCTAATTAAGATATGTTATTTAAATGATAATCATAAATTATTTTACTTTTGTTTTTTTTATCTTATATAATGTCTTTAGCCGGTTCACAGCTGTGGATCTAGTGGATATGGTAGCATGAACAGCAATGACCACCTTCTGAGCATGACCTCTTCAACTGACAGCTTTAACAATGGCAGCAACTCAAAGATGCACCTGGAAGAAGAGGAAGAGAGCTCCAAAGCAAGACCTGTGCGTTAATCAAAATGATACTGTGTTGTTTCGAGTTTTGTGAAATAATCTGAAAAATAATGATCTGATATGACTTTTCACAGCGCACCTTTCAGGAAATATGCAAGGGCATACACCTCCAAAAAAGTCAGGAGCAACAGACTGTCAAAATAGACAAGAAATCCTCTGGTAGCAAGTCTTATCTTATAGCTGAATATATTATATAATATATAAATGTAAATGTATTGTCTGCAGATATAGTCATAATTATGGTCTTTTTCCAGTAGACTCTGTACAAAAGAGTCAGGTAGTGGTTAGACCCAAAGACACAGCGACCACTGCCCAGTGGAAGGACTCTGGAGCAGAGGAGGCCAAGTCTACCTTTCAGGAGGAACTGACTTTTAATGATCAAACTGTCTACTCCTACCAGCAGATAAGCTGTCTAGACAGTGTAATCAGGTAAAAGAAATTAGACCACTCTTTAAGTCTTTATTGTCAATGGTAATAACATTCCTACTGCTCATAACTGTAGGTACCTGGAGAGCTGTAATGTTCCTCTCACCATGAAGAGAAAGTGCCAGTCCTTCTCTAACACCACTTCCTCAAACTCTGATGAGGACAAGCAGAAGGCTTGCACAAACATGCAGGTGGCTGAAGGTCTGTATCTGTCTAACTTTATTTGCTACAGCTGCATTTTCTTTTTATAAATAGTCTTGAGAGATCTCTAATGCAAGAATCTCCTATTCTGATTCCTCACAGAACCAGCATTGTTGAAGGTTCAATCTGGTCTCTCCACTTTACATGACCGGGACAAAAAGTCCAGTGATGCAGCCACAGCAGTAGTGGGCACTTCACTGCCTCTACCTGTACCAAACAAACCAGAAAGTGTTGTGTCCATTACCAGCCAGTGTAGCTATAGTAGCACTATTGTGCATGTTGGAGACAAGAAACCTCACCCTGAGTCAGGTACTGTACTCTGACAGATTGCTAATCTAATTTGTTTGCTCTAAGTGATAAAAAAAAAAAAAGAGAGAGACTGAGTTGGATAAAGAAAAAATATCTTTGTTATTTTGGTATTTTTCTTCCAAATCAACAATTGGTCAATTTAATTATCTTTCCATTAATTATTAGAAGCAGTGCCATTGTTGCCTAAAGGACTTAAATTGATTTTTTTCTCCCATTGGTACACTAGTAATGAAATGAGTATGAAGTTGTAGTTAGAAACCTTGCACTGTTTTTGCATATGGAAGATCAGGTGGGATAATCAGCAAAACATTGTTAATAGTAAAATGATACTAGTGAGAGATTGTGCAATGAGAATTGGACAAAATTTGGGTATCAACAAGGTTACCTAATATGAAAGAAATGATAAAGTCTGAGATCTAAACCTACCTCACCTTTTTGCCACCTCAAGGCTAAATAAAAAAAGCTGAGCTTTATGGTGTACCCTCTCTTTAGTACTATACTGTTTTTTAAACAAATGCAGAGAGTAAGAGTATAACTGACACAATTACTCCTGTTACTATTACCAATGACCTACTTCTATTCCAATTATATAGCCAATCCAGTTAGACTTTTTGTTTGTTTTTTTGATACAGAACTAATAGAGGACATCCCAGGGACAGGAGAACCTCCTGAAAGCAACCAAAACCCTTCTGCGTCCCCATGTGGTGTATCCACTCCCTGTCAGGAGAGGGAGTCCTACAAGAAACTGGGCCTAACCAAGCAGGTCCTGGCAGCTCACACCCAAAAGAGGAACAGGTCTTTCTTAATCGCTTCAAAGAGCTCCGGACACTCACAGCTCTCAAAGCAAACTGCTCTCAATATCTGGAACGTCAGAGGGAACAGACTTCAAATGATGGTGACCACCAAACTTTAACCCAGAATGAATTCTCTCTTCTTTTTTACTCTAATTTATTTCCCTTTTATTACCCCTTTCTTTTTAAGGTTTTAAATTGTTTTAAACTAAACTTTTTTCTGCTTGACCTTCCAGTTGTACAAACCACCCGATCATCCAAACAGTGTGGTCCTGGTGGGGAACCCAGCACTCGACGAGGAGTGCGAAATAAAAAGACCAAATCGAAGAGAGCCAAGAAGGTGGAGTCATCTGACAGCACAGCATCCCACCCCAAGCAACAGCTGCGGCCCCCTCTTCTCAACCACGGCCTTAACCCCACGTCCTGGTCTCCCTCAGAAGCATCACAGTCCTGTTTGCCTCTGGCCTACCCTGCAGTGATGCCCGGGTACCCCCTGCAGGTGTATGCTAGGCCCAACTCTGCCCCCCACACTGATGCTGGTTCCTCAGGCGGGGCAGTAAACCAGGGCAGCCCTGTCCCATGTCCCCCAAACCTCCAACATCCTCCATACCCCACCTCAATGGTCACCCCATTTGTGGCATTGGTACTACCCAACTACATGTACCCACCAGTCCCAGGACCTCAGGCTGTGTACCCCACTGAACCTGGTGGTTATCCCACTCCAATACCCTTAGCCCCAGCTATATTTTCTGCACAGGGTGCCTTTACTGTCCCAACCCCCTTCAATATTCAAAGCCAAGCAAACTTACAAAACACAAACACCACCCAAACAGGATCCCTGTCGATGTCATTCCACTTCTCTCCATCCTCTGAAATGCCAAAGGGGGCTCCTGAGAGTCAGTCTCGCCCCTCCACACCTCATTCTGGAGGTGGTGAAGGTACCTCCTCTCCACCACTGTTCCAGTCGCCCTGTAGCTCCCCCCTCAACCTGCTGGAACTGGAGCTATCTGTGCAGGACAGCACTGGGTTCTCTGCAGTGGGACAAGGCAATAATAACACAACAGAAAGGGAGAAAGGAACAGGTGGGAACCAGACCAAGGACAGGGAACTAAAGCAGGTAATCCACATACCACTGTTTGATTCCTTTTTATGTATATGTTGAATTGTTGTCTTGTAAATGCATGCGGTCTTACATAAATAATCAATGCTAAATGAGATTTTAAATATGAAATGCATTCGCTCACATGTTTTATCTCCACTCTAAGACTGTATCAGATTGTGGTGGGTTATTTGAGGCCTGTGTGTGAGTTGTGGCATGTTTACTGAGACATGGTTGTATATGTCTCTTTTTGGACCATGCTACTACTGTATTCCTGTACCATGTGTAATATCTAGCCAGTTTAGATGAAACATGGGTGTTAACACATGATGTCATTATCCTTACACCCTTTAGCCATCTCTCAGTCTCCTTGGTCCACCAGGACCCTTGTTTTACGTGGACACGTCCTGTGTCTGTGAGCGTTTGTCATGGGATAAACTGTGCTCTAGGCTGGGGGCTTTCAGCTATGAGGTAGGCAAATCATCAGCATACCTCTTTATTTTTCCAATCATATACTTACCCCCTATGTTATGTTTTAGTTCAGTGTTGTGTTTTTTTATATTATCCACAAAGTTTGTAGACATTATCTTAAATCACACATGGGACATGATAAAGCTATATATATATCAAATACACTGACAATGTAAGTCAGAAAACGTATTTTGTTCAATCCCCCTTCCCCATTTTTATTCCACTAATTTGCATACAAGGCCTCAAAGAATTTAACCATAATACATATCAATGTAAAATGCAAAAATGTTTTCCTAGTGTTGTCATTGTAGGGTCATTGGTTACACATAGTGTACATTTTACCAGATTAGCATTTTGCTTTGTAGATCAGCTCCCGTGGAGATGGCAACAACAGTGACGCAAATTCTTCCTCCAGCGACATGTTTGATGTGATTTTACATGAAGACTCCTGCTCAGGCACAGGTTCTGCCACGTCAGGCTCCATGGGCTCAGCATCCAATGGTTGTGGGACGTCCAACAGCAGGACGTCTGCCAGTGGAGGCTCTGCCAGCGGCATCTCAGGTAGTGGAATAAGTCTGGCCGCCTTGTGGCACCAATCATATATATATATATATATATATATATATATATATATATATATATATATATATATATATATTTTTTTTTATTTTTTATTAAAAAAATATTATTATAATATACTATATTTTATATATAGTTTATCAATTGTAGAGAACTCTTAGAGTTCTCCTTTTGAGCTGAATGTACTTGTGATGTGATGTGTGATACTGGCCCAGAAAACTGAATAATTACTCAGAACTGCCCTCGTGACCTCATTTATATCTCTTTAGTTCTATGTTATGTGCTTTAGCTCATGCTCATGTTTTGATTCTTATAGGAAGCAACAGTAGTAAGTACTTTGGCAGCGTGGACTCATCTCAGAACAGCCAGAACGTAAAAGTTCACGTGAGCAGCTCCGAAGGAAGGCCTCTGAAGACGGATCAGACCAATCACGTCATCAAGTATGTACTACAGGACCCGATGTGGCTGCTCATGGCCAACACAGATGACAAGGTCATGATGACCTATCAGCTGCCCTCGCGGTGAGTGAAAGGACGGGGGTGCAGCAGTGACGACTAGGTAGTGCCGCACATTAAGTTCTGTGTAATATAATGGAAGGCTAAGGGTAAGGATTTAAACAGTGAAATCTACTTTTACTTCAGAAAGACTTTATTGAGGCCCAGGGTTTGCTTCCCTGGCCACTTGAGGCCTTTCTGTGTGGAGTTAATTTATCTTGTTCCTATATAATATTAACCCATCTACTCTGTAGATTTTTTATGTATTTGCTGCCTGGTAGCCATAGTTGAAGAGAAGATATTGCTACAGCTCCACTGGCTGCAGTGACACGGGTTTACCACAAGATGGCCCATGTATTTCAGTGTAAGGATAGCAATCTTATAACAGGTGAAATTTATCATAGCTATCTCTACGTCTGAATACCATATTTTTATCGTAGGATTAACTATGGTACATATAAGATAAGTATGTAAGTAGTATGTAAATATGTAAGATTATTATGCTCCCTTCCCATCAACTACTTGTTTTCTCAAACTACTGTATGTTTTCTTGTTCTTTATACTGTGCCAACAGTGACATGCAGCAAGTGCTGAAAGAAGACAGAGACAAGCTGAAGGTGCTGCAGAAAACCCAGCCACGTTTCTCTGAGGAGCAGAAGAAGGAGCTGGTAGAGGTTCACCCATGGATACAGAAGGGAAGTCTGCCCAGGGTCATAGACATCAAGGTATATATTCTGCCAATAGAGCAGACATATCTTTCTTTCATTTCAAGTTAGATGCTACTCTGTGTTGTATTCCTGTGCATTCTTGTCAGTGGAATGATGTTTACTTGAATAATAAAAACCTTAAAATGTGTCATATTTAATGAATGCTTTGCAGGTGTGCTCTTGCTGTGACGATGTATCAGAGGTTTCCGCCATAGTAGATGCAGAAGATCAGCCTGACATGGAGATGGGAGATTCAGAGACGGTGGAACTGTGCTGCCAAAGGACTGACGAGTCCACAGACACTTTTGCCTCTAGCTCACAGACCCCAAGACAATGAAATTCTGCCATTGACTTTTACTTCCTATCCTACTTTGCAGTGCTTGAAGAGAGAGCTATATTTTGAGATATCACACAACACAAAACTTTAACATTTATTCTTGTTCTTGACCTGCTACAATAATATTTTAATAACACTCAAAAACTACAAATAGAAAATATGCTGAAGTGTGGCTGTAAATGTGTGTTATTTGAGATGGACTTGCAAACTATTGCTGTTAGAATAAATAATGAATGTTGCTGTGTTTTGCACATTTGGGAATGTCCAGAATTAGCTGGAAAAGTGCATAGTACTGAAGGGAAAATTTGTTATTTTTAATAATTTGTTATTTACTTTAATTTCCTAAAACCATCACAATTTTGACATTACAATATTATAACATATTGTACAATGGACACAATTTTAATGAAATATGACTATTAAAGAACATTCCAATGTCATCATTACCATTATTAGTCTTATAGTTGCCAACTAAACCATACAATAAAATCAGTTTTACTAAACTCAGCTGCCTAAAGCATTAACCTAACTGTCCGTCTTACCTTTCTTTCTCAATCACTTTCACACTACTGTTTACATTTCGGCACAAATTCCCAAACCTGCCACTCAGGCAGGGGGAGACTCATATTATAACAATAACTTAATATAATATTAGAGGTCTTACTGTATTCATTATAGAGCTCTGAATGTATCTGACTATAAGAATCGCAAAGTTATTAAACATGAAGTCTTCATCTTGGCACAACCTTACATTTTTCAGTTTCAATTTCAAGCCTCAAAGTCTCAAATTCAAACTTCAAAGTCAAAATACTTTGCAGAAACAATGATCAACAATTTAAACACAGATTGCCATTGTAATACTGTTCAGACTTAATACTGTCCACTAAAGATACACAGGGGACACAACATAACACACACGAATCACAATATGAAGATATTTTATTGTCAGATTATAGAAATACTGTAAAACTCTATAAAGTGTCAAAGCGATTGAAAAAACAAAGTGGACGACCTATTAAAGTGTTAATATTGATGGTCTAGATGTCAGTTTTAAGTGGAATATCATCCTTGACAGCTTTGCAGTTCCTGTCATTTCAGATGTATGCCACTTTCCTAGACATGACTATGTAAAAAAACAGATTAGACAGAATGTTTGTCTAGATTACGGTGAGATTAGGAATAGCCCTTTGACATTCATGCGAAAAAATTGTACAAATCAAATTTGTGTTTAAAAAGTGAAAAGCTATGCCTATTAAATAGGGTGCAGTGGACTAATATGTTGATTATTCATGGTTAAACAGATTTTCTACGACCTGTGGTTTCAATTTCGTAGCCTTTGTAATTTCAAAATATTGATGTAAAATGATATGGTGTTGCTTGTGGCTGACTTGTGAATCCTTTTGTTTTCAGCTGTGACCTTTTTGCTGACATTTTGTCAAAGCCTACATTGTCTTTGTACTTTTACATGAAATGTTTGACTCTTAGGGGGAAAAAAAACAAAAAACTTCATTACATCTAAAAGACTGGACCAATTAAGTTGCATGATTAGGTCTACATTTTTATTTTGAATTTTACTTTTTATTTGCACTGCCTATGAGAACATCTTGCCTAAATATTTATTTATTTGGAGATTTTTTTTTAAGCCCTTAGTGTGCTATATTGCAGCTGAGCCTTAAAGTCGTGGTTAGAAAGTGATTAAAAACATAATGTGTTGGAAGCTGAAGCCCCATGGCTTCAGAGGTGAATTTTAGGGTTATTGCACGGGCATAAAGCCGCTGTCCTGTATCTTTAAAGTATCGGTTGAGCTTCACTGAGCATTTTTTGTGTTTTATTAGTTTAAAAGCCTAGCACCTGTTTATTTATTTTTAAATGCTCTTTTATTTCTAGTTGCCTGGACTTTTTCGATTAATAAAATGTTAATATATAGCCTCCCCCATTTGTACTGAGAGTATGGTCTCTTCTTGAAAGAAAAAACAAACAAACTGCACATCACAGGCTTGTGTTCATAGTGTCTGATTTGAATGTAGACTTCCACTAGGTTTGTTTAGCTGTGAGCTTTTGCGTAAGTTGACTGTGAGCAGTGCGCACTGATGCGTCTCTTTCAAAGCGGCGCCCTGTCCTCCTTCTCGGTGTTCACACTTCTGACTTAGACCGAGGTGTGAACAAACGCGACTCCTGCGGCGGCTATTGACACCTAACAAATCCGGTCTAGACACTAGACTAGGCAGACGTCTAGCTCAGATCATAGCGCAGTGCTGTAAAGCCTGATTTGTCGCTATTCTCAAACAAATGTTTGTATTTGTATTTGCAACAATCTGAAGTAATCACGGTTCTATAATTGGCCGACATATAATTACAACATATCAAAGAAATGTCATCAACTATAATTCCAAATGTTGGTAAATGGCTTAAAATGTTTGACTACCACTATTGTGTAGGCTACTACACTGACTCATGTAGATCGGCTATGGTGTACAGTCTATATGACCCTAACACACGCGCGCGCACACACACACACACACACAAACATGCGTTATTCATCGTTCACATATTCTCCTAATTTTTCCTCCTCTGCGCTGATCAGCCCATTTAGGCCACATACACCTTTCTGTGCACCTTTAATTTTTTGTACATTTAAATATAATAAGTTGAAGGACTATAGAGTTGCCCAAATTGTCCTAAATCTGTTATACTGTTTTTCAAAATGATAGCAGTAGGCATTGAAGTTAGTATCTAAATACCATGACTTAAGCATATGTGGTGGCCTATTTGCAATTGACTAAAATTAAAATATAATAAACAAAAATACAACATAATGTCATTTATCAACTTTGAAAGAGTGCCCAAACCTGGATGATGAAGGCCTTCAACTCTTTGAAATTGTTTGTCCATGAACTTATAATAAAGCAAATTTAACTACAGGATATAAGTTGTATTCCTTAAAGGAGCTTCAAAGCTATTTGCCAAGTCTTGAAGTATAGGCCTATATAAGGAGATTACTCATTTCACACTTCACAAGCGCCCACGACATGCTTGGAGAAAGCAGCACACAAATGGTCCACTATTGCAGAGTAATAACTACTATTCTGAAAACAGACATGAGTGGGTGGTCCTTGGGATCTCTGTGTGCAAAATTTCTCAAATAATAGGCTATGAGTACAACATATTTTAGAGAAAATTTATTGAAATCGTTTAACACAGGCAAATTTTGAGGTAGCCTATTAACTTATGTCACAAACTCATTTCATGTATAAATACAAACTAAAAGAAGCTAATGAGACAATATCTTACACAGGGAACATTTAACATCTAGCTGTACAGGAATCTATAATACATCCTAAATAACATAAACATATATACACAGTCTGCTCTTTCTCTTCCAAACGAAGAACCGTACAAGTTTAGATCTTTGCAAAGCAAGTCTAGTAACATTTATTATACATTTCTAAAATAGAAATATTCAAAAGAGCTTCTATGATGCCTTTCAGGTCTATACCATGCGACAGCTCAAGAGAAATGTTCTAAATGCTAAAACTACGTAGCAGTATCTATCTGCCGTACAAGAACAGTCTACCAGGGCCTCCACATTGACTTGGAGTAATAGGGAGATAAGCATAGCACATCTGACTCCTCTGATGAAGAGACATGGCTGTGCTCGGACTCTGTCTCCTCCAGGTCTGAGCAGAGGTCATCAGAGGTGGTGGTGGAGGGAGCAGGGGAGACCAGGCCCGAACACAGGATCTCATTCAGGGACCAGCTGGACAGCTCTGCCAGGCTGTCTGGCACTAGGAGCCTGAGTCGGTCCTCGTTGTTCAGGGGCATGCTCTCCAGGAGGTGGTTAAGGAGCTCGGTGGCCACTGAGGGCTCTATGCCGGGACAACTGGACACAAATGTGTGCACATCATGCATGCACTGAATGTAGCCAGCCGCAAACCGTTCACATGCCTCTCGGTTCACTGCATCCACTTCTGTAAAAAAAAAGAACAAAAAAACACACCATCAGTTCACACAGTGATCATTCTATTTGATTGCTACTATTATTTTATTTATTTACGATCACACACAAAAATGGAATGGCGCGACATGACTCGCCCGTAGTGACCAGGGACCCTCGCCATCACGTAGCAATGCACCAGAGGTTTCCGAAAATGTATAGTTTGTCGGCCAAAAAAAAGCGGAACATTGTTCTCGCATCAGAATATTATTCTTTCTTTCTTATTATTATTTTCCTCCTAACCAACTCACCCATTTTTCACCCACTAAACAATAATAAAAAGTCCTGGAAATTTTTCCATCTGGTAAAACTCGCGCTTCCCTACGTTTTGGCTATTTCCATTTTCCAAACATAAATAAAATGGCTCGTCAGCGCCCCCAAACGACTCAAAAATGCATTAGGGAATACGAATGACACAAAACATTTTTTGCATGTACAGTCATGAAATTTGACAAAGAAGTCGATCATGTCAAGACAAGGAAAAAATATTATTACATCAACACCATCCACTAGGGGGCAGCAATATTGGCTTAAAGTTTGCTAAGCTTTTACAAACTCCTCCGAGGGCGTTCACCCGAACAAGCTCAAATTTGGTCCACATTATCTCAAGACGTGGAACATCAAAAGTTATCCACATTTTTCACACACGTCTTATGGTCTCTGAGGAGTGAAGCAACAAAAAATGCACACAATTTAGGAGATTTACAAATTGCTCCCATTTGCTCAAACGAACTCTGATCATTGAAATTTGAAACATTTGTTAAACTCTCTGCCCTGAAGCTATTTAATGTGAAAATTATTAATTTGGTGCATTAGCGCCCCCTATAGATTGAAACAAAATTTAATATGGAAGAAAATCATTTGTTCCCAAATAGTTGCTCAAAAATTTCTGAAATTTTGCACAAAATTCCATTTTGGCATCCTGATCCAAAAGTCAATGACACCCATTTCATATTTTTTATGGCGTTGCCATAGCGATGACATAAACTCTCCACTGGTAAAATCTACAAATTCTGGCACAAAACTTTGGCCGATTTTACTCAAATTTTAATCGTTGATTGACACCCCGACCCTGAACAGATTTATATAAGAAAATCTCAGATGGGCACAATAGCGCCCCCTAGGGAAATTGCATGGTACTGCAAACATTTACTTTGTTGTAGACATATAAAATTTGGTAGACAGATTCATGACATGGTCTTGATCAAAAAAGTCAATGACGACCCCATGCCATTTCCCATCGTGTTGCCATGGTGACAGGCCAAACATCTGCCCTCGCCAATGGGATGAACACCAAAAACTTTGGTGTAGACAAACCAAATTTGGTACACAGATGCATCATGGGAACAGGAACAAAAAAGTATATTATGCGGTTGCTCAGCAACCAACAGGAAGTCTGTCATATTGGATTGATCGTGCAACCTGTCCTCGTATTTGAACGAACTCGTCCTAGGGCGTTTGACCCAGACTCACCAGAATCATTCTGTATCATCTAGACAAGTGGGACATTAAAAGTTGTTAAAAGCTTTTTAAAAGGTCAAACGGTGTTGCCGTGGCAACGGTGCAAATTTCGGATTTGTTTTTAGGGCTCACCATCAAACTTCAATGCCAGATAATTTGCACAAACTTTGGCCAATTTCACTCAAATTTGAATCCTGAGTTCACACCTCAACCCTGAACAGACTGATGTAAGTAAAGTGGGTGCAATAGCGCCCCCTAGTGATTTGCACAAACTTTGGCTGATTTCACTAAAATTTTAATTGTGGGTTTACACCCTGACCCTGAACAGATTGATGTAAGAAAATAAAAAAAAAGTGCAATAGCGCCTGCTAGAAAATTTGTATGTAAAAATAAGGTTTTATTTGTGACAGATATACAAAATTTGGTATCCACATTTGTGACATGGTCTCAATTAAAAAACTCAATGATGCTCACATCCCGTTTACATTGTGTTGCCATGGCAACAAGCCAAAATTGTATTCGTGCCAATGAAATGTCCTTACACAAATGTTGGCGTAGCCAAACCAAATTTGGTAGCCAGATGGCAATAAGAACAAAAATGTATATTGTGACCACGCCCCTTTACAAACCGGAAGTCCGCCATCTTGGATAAAAAAAATTTGCCAAATTTTGATAATTACAGGATTAAATTAAGATTTATAAGGCTAGGGTTGGAGCTATGGTTACGATTATGATTAGGGTAAGGTTTAAGCTTAGGCTTATTAGGGTCAGTGTGAGGTGCGGTGTTTGCGGGGTGCGGCGTTTGCGGGGCGCGGTGTAAGCACGCGCGAGGGCCGATCATTGCCGTTTTATATTTTAGCTTATCTTTTCAGTGAAAAATGGAAAGAAGATAAAGTCTCAGCACCAAATTATGATCACGTTTGGTTCTTGGCATCCCTGTCCTATTTAGTATTGCAGCTTCAAGGGACTATTAGCAGATGGATATTTAACTGATGACCTGATTGTGAACGTTCCTGAACCTGCCAAAATTGTCAGCACAGTAGAAATAATTTAGACTCACCATGTGCCCTGTTTTGTAGGATACTCTCCACGCGCCTCACCGTCATCTCAAGCACTTCAGCATTCTCCATTTTTACCTGCAAAAACGGAGCAAATAAACAAGTAGGTATGAGTCACGCAGAATAATACACATCGTTCTTCGGGTTTGTCTCGAGTATTTGAGTTCTTACATCGGCGTCCGCGATGAGAACTCGGAGTTCTTGTAAACTTTCATTGATGCGCGCCCTTCTCTTCTTTTCTAACAGGGGCTTCCGTGTCTGCGTAAAATACAGAAAACACATTTACCTTTATGCCAAAGCGCAAAACGTGCGTGCTAATGATGATTTAAACTTACCCTTCTATTAGACCTGTCTCCATAGATGTTGTCCCTTCTGCCCGCTCCGCTGCTGTTGTTTCGGACGGGGGCCATGTTGAGCTTAACCCTGCCGCTGCCAGACAGAGGTGAGTGAAGTTCCGTTAAGAGTTTGTCCAGTGAACAGATGGTGCGTCTTTGCGCAGAGACCACTGGTCGTTAGTGTCGGGTACAGGGCCACTGATTGAGAGCTTTACACGAATGTCTCATTTAAATAACAAAAGGGGACCTGGAAACGAGAACAGGACACCACACGAGGGTGCCTACAGTCCTTTATAAACCTGTGTCCAAATAGAGCCTCTGTGGCATGACCGCAACATACACTAACACTGCACCAGTCAGTAAGAGAAAAACGTTTTTATTGTCAAGCTTTTGACATTTCATATCGCTTCCAGTAACACTCTAAAGCACACGAGGTTTTCTCAGAAGGGTATATGGACTGGCCATGCCTCATGTGAATGCTCATGACCTCCAGAGTTCACTCACTGAGCTGCAGAGGCTGTACTAGCACTGATTAATGACTGGCTGTGGGTGTTGGGGTTTAGGTAGTGAGGCTTGTGAGAGAGTCCTTTTAGATTTCAATCAAATGGATTTCAACTTTGAAACTGGCACCCCAAATGAGACTCACCTGAGCTTACCGAAAATTGATCAAATTGTTATCAGTAAGGTTTTGATTTGAACATTTTTACCTTATGTATGTTGACACAAATAGGTCAAGTTTATGAAATGAAAGGAAATGGAGAAAAAAATAAATAAAAATAAACCATACAATATAAAATAAATACCAATCTTTTTAAGAACCTGTCTTAAAATTAAAAAGAAATCGTGAGATGTCTTAATCTGTTGTATTTTAGGCCAATATATGTAACCACTGGAACAATATGCACAATAAAAAAAATGAAAAAGTTATATAATTTTCATTATAACTTCAAATGTCGGTAGATTTTTTTCATTGAGACAAGCTTTGCACGATTCACAAAATGTACGGTGAACTTGTGGGCAAATAACTACTTTATTTTACAAAAGGCCTATTCTCGCACCTATATCAACCTTATTAGAAAATATATATATATATATTCCCAGATAAACACAATATCCAAAAGGTATAGCATGTTCCTTTCCTAAAATTCTGGAGGAGTCCACCAGTGCACATGCAGTGGGTCATGTGAACAGTCATGGTTATATACATGCTGATGAGAATGAGTGGATGAAATATATTTGCATGTGTTGCTTCATTTACATACCCTTACACTGACTGTATGCGTGTGATTCTCATTAAATTAAGGCAAGAAGGCACATTAGCCATGTGTGCATATTTACACAATGTATCATGAACTACAATAACTACATTAGATTTAGATTAGATTCTGAATAAAATCATCTTATACAGTGAAAATATACCCTTGTACTACTAGTTGCTGATAATTATAGTATTTTCTATCAGCAATTCTGCTCAGTTACCAAGAGTTTTCCAACATCCCTACATTTCCGGATGATCAGTGATGAGAAAAGGAGGTGTAGCTTTAAATAAAATTCGGAAAGCCTTGCCATATCTGGCACTGGCCTTCAGAATAAAGTGAATGCGTGCTTATTAAACCGTAATTAACTAAGTAGGTAATACAAATGAAAACACATGAGTACTTAACGGTGTAACAGTGCATATTAAACAATACATGAGCAATACCAATAGGTATTTTTCGATTCTGTATATAATTATTGGTAATAGACTCTTAAGTTGACATCGACGTGTCTGCTTTTCCTCGAGACCCACACAACGCTTGTTCGTCACAGAAGACGCTCTTCTGAGGTCACTGAGTCCCGGGGGCGATACGTTGCCGTCGGTATAAAATCTTGTAGCAGCACTGTGGATGGACGCAGTGCAACTAAAGCAGAATCAAGACAAAGTACGAGCGACCAGCCGGCACAGCAAACATGGTGAAGATCACTTTTCAGCCAGTTTCGGCGCAGAAGCCCGAAAAAGACAACGACGAGGACAAGATCGTTATACCTCAGGCCCACGTGAGTTTGTACACTTTGTCCCCGTCTTTGTTTTGGGTGGTGGTCATTGTTATGGTATGCATTGTGCAAACGTGAAACCCCAATAGTTTCTCAGATTTGACTTTGAGTGCTATAGTAAAGTAGCATACTACTACTGTTACTGCTCTTACACGCTAGTTTTCATAAGTTGCATAAAGTAAATATTTAGAGGGATTGATTGACTAATTCTGAAATATATGTCCTAAAATATATAATAACCATTCAGTGCAGCAGCAATAAAGTATCTGCACAAGTAGTAATAGTAACAGGTCCTTGATGTGCTATAATAACGATAAAAATGGATGACGTCTTTGCAGGTTACAAGTCTATGGTTTCAACCTTGCCATGTTGACATTACGTCACCTTGTTTTGTCAGCTTAGGTGCTTTATGCAGCTGTGTGCCTTTACTTTGAAGTTAAAATTATGCAGACTCTTTGCCAGTGTGCCAGTGTTTAAGACTTTGTCAGTACGTAAAATGGCAAATTCACCCACAGTCTCACAAAATGGTGCATTATATATTCTCTTAGGTTAATAATGATTACTGCACCTGCAGTGTACCCAAACCGTGACCGCGAGCGTTGTCATTATCATCCTGTGTCGCTCTTAACACTTGTTTTATGTTTATTATAGTTAAGAAAGAGAAATCAAAATGTTTTTTTTTGTTTGTTTTATTTTGTTGTTGTTGTTTTTTTGTGATAACAATTACATCCACAATCAAATTATGTTAGAGTATTGCATTCATCATATTTTACGTCTATCCTCAAGAAACTGTAACTCACATCAACTAATAGTTTTTGAATTATTTCCTGGATAGTTGTTGGGAAAGTTAGCACTGTTTAAGGTTTTTGCCATATAAACAGTCTATGGCCACACCATACAGAATTGTGCATGGAATGACAAATGCACTTCTTTAGAGTTGTGATGCATTTTCTATATATAGGATCACAGATTGTGATCTCAAAGGGCTCTGGGATTCTGATTGGTAGAGACTCTAGCACAGGCGTCACCGCCGATGTGTGAGGATCTATAAATATGGTGAGGGACCCCTACTCTACGCAATAGCTCTTATTCTGACTCCCACTGAGGGCTCCAGGGAACTTTCTGCAAATAAGGATTGTGGAAGTTGTCCTCCAAGAATAGCACTAGATGGCCACGTGCCAACATCTTCGTCAGAGCTTGGCACAATCTGTTCTTCCAGCTTCCGCTCTCCATAGCAGCAGTAGTAAGGATGGCAGCAGATTGACTGAGAGACAGTGGGTGTGGACCTGATATGTGTCTTCTCTGCCCAGTTTATGATGTCTGCCATGACTGCATATATTAGTGATGTCCTTATCACTTAAGATTTGGACATGTCATAGTTAATAATGACCACAGAGAAGCCAACATGGCTTATAGACATACAATATATTTGGCCACACACAACTATTCAAAATAAATTATATATTTTTTTAAACCAATTTTTATTCTTGCAGGAGCATCTGACTCTTCCTGTAAGGTCCAAGAGGCCCTTTCCTACTGGACTCTGCTGCCTTGCGTTTGGTCTGGTGGTCTTCATGTTGGGATTGATACTTGCTTCTGTGTATGTCTATCGCTACTACTTCATATCTCAGGTGAGCCAATATTTTAAATGATCACAACTTGATCAAATAGTTTCATGTTATTTCCAGAGAAATCATTTGGTGCATCCATTGCTGATGTATTTTTTTGTGTGTGTCATTACCAGATGCCCGAAGACAGCTTGTTCCACTGTCGAGTTGTGTATGAGGATTCAGTCTTTGCTCCTCTCAGGGGTCGGCAGGAGCTTGAAGAAAATGTTGGCATTTATCTTGAAGACAACTATGAGCAGATTAGCGTACCTGTGCCTCACTTTGGAGGGAGTGACCCTGCTGATATTATCCATGACTTTCACAGAGTAAGATATTGCAATATTAAACAGTATAATGTTTAATAGTAAGACTTTTTGTGACTAATTGAATTTCTTTACTTAAGGGGCTCACAGCTTATTATGACATTGCCCTGGACAAGTGCTACATCACAGAGTTGAATACAACATTGGTAATGCCCCCAAGGAGTCTTTGGGAGCTGCTAATCAATGTCAAGGTAAGGCACCTTGGTTTGTGTCTTCATTAGGAAATATTTCTGCATGAGAAGGTGTCAGTAGCTTATTTTGCTTGTTAGTCCACTCACAACTAATGGTTGATTTGCTCTTGCCACAGAGGGGGACATACCTTCCTCAGACCTATATCATTCATGAGGAGATGGTGGTGACAGGGAGGGTGAGGAGCATGAGGTCACTTGGTCCTTACATCCACAGGCTTTGCTTTGGCAAAGAGACTTACCGCCTTCGACGCCGTAGTCACCGACGTAAGTACATGCCCCTCTTACACTTCCTCTGACTCTGGCCGCATCACCATATCTTCCTCAAGCACGACTGAATTCACACACAGTTAGAGTTGTGTAGGAGTAAACACGTTGTAAGAAGCCTCGGACAACAAATACAACCACGTTCACTCCAAATAGGGCACTTCTTCCAAACTGCAGATCTTGTCCATGTTAGAATCCTCCTCACACAACCTGCCAGTGGCTATGTGGGAGGGCAGGGAACTTCCTGCTCCATGACTCACTACAGTGGACACATCCACACACTGTGGAGGAGGCTGTGATGCACAAGTGATTTCTGTGTCGTTGGTGGTTTTGATTGGAGCAGGAGCCTCAGAAATGATGCAACAAAATTCCCTTGTAGTACATATATGGATGTGATTTCTCAGGGATAACCTCAGATGATTCAGACTTTTTTGCAATGTGAAAGAGAACCAAGCCCAGCTTTCACTATTATTCAAATGGTTTCTAAAAGACCCTGTCCTCTGTTATGTCTTGCAGGTATTGAGAGACGTGAGACACAGAAGTGCCACAGCATTCGTCATTGCGAAAACACTTTTGTGGTCGAGACTCAAATCTGTGATAGGATGTAAATGCCTTGCAGAAATCACGACTAGTCAACACTGAAGCCAATCTGAAACAATACCTCTTGAAACCTTAGGCTTTCAACTGCACTTTAAGACCAAGTTTTTGTCCCACAATATATGTTTGTCTAATGTGTGTTGTTGTGGAACAAATGCTTAATTTGTCATAGTTTTTGGGTTTTTGTTTCATGGTCATTTTTAATGTGTCTAAATATACTGTATCTGTAGCTAGTCTAGTGTGGCAACAATAGTGTTGACTTTGGATTATATTTTTTCATGCAGCAGTGCTCTGTTTGTGAGGGCTCTTGCACTCTGTGTCTTAAATAGTTTCTGTTTTGTTTTTAAAGCAAAAATGGCAAAGCATACCTCATGTAGTTTAGACACTTCTTAAATGATTCATTATTCAATGTTGTATATAATATCTTAAGCAATATAAACTGTAAATTATTTTACTTAAATATTTCCTGCATAGATTTGTATATAAATGTTTTCCATGAATAGTCATTTTTTAGTTTGGTATCACACTTTTCATATTTCTTTTTATTTTATGGCTTCATGACTGTATTTAGAAGCAGTGCTTTAGAGAAGCAGGAGAACCAAAGTCTATGTTGGGCTACAATATGCTTAGAAATGAAATGGTAGAGGTTATATCACTTACTGTAGAATCATGATATCGAGGTTCACTGTTCTGTTCTTCCCCGTCTTCACTTTGACTGTGGTCTTCTAAATATCCCTCTTGTTTTAGCATACTTAATTCAGCACTGTTCATTAATACCAATTGAAATAATTGGGTGGTGTGTCTAATGTAAAATTGTCTCTGTTGACAGAGACCTCTCAAATGTGTTCATATTTCATACCTTATTTTGCTGTAAATGAGATTCTTGTAATATCTTTCTGCTTTAAAATAAATAATGAACCTTATGTTTCTGGGTCTTAAATTTAAGTAATAATAAAACATCTAACAGATATGAACAATATTTGGAGCACGTTTAGGTATGAGAAGAGAAAACACCTTTTTATTCCCTCCTATTTAACAAACTGTCACTACAGGTTTATTAAAAATATAACTATTCATAATATTCATTAAAATTTATTTAGTTATTTATGTGTAAAATACATTTAAAATAAACACAATACTGTTAAATAAAAGTAAAACAAAACAGGGAAACTAGTGATATAATGTATCACTGTTTAAAGTAATAATATATAATGAATTTACAAATACACATACAAAAGCATATAAAAATAAACATAATATAATATATATAATAATATACATATTTCTTGTTTTTAATAGATTGTGGGGTAATTTGTTTTTTGTGTGTTTTTGTTTATATTACAATAATGATATTTCAAATGATAGTAACAATAATTAGAATAAATACTTGAATTTACATATATACATATTATCATACACACCAATATAAGGTTTAATTTTTTGTCTTACTACAAGTATTTTGCTTTTACTATACAGCTGAGTGATTGTGACAAGCTCCAACTGTTACAGATAATACAACGGCTACTGACATTAAACTTCACAACTTCAAAACTATTTACATGTTGTCAAGAAAAAGAAAAAAAAAAACAACCCACACACAAAAAGGGAAATGCTCTAGTTTAGACAACTGCCACTGACCACTAGTTTCAAAAATACAGCCAAAAACCCGGCCGAGCTTTGCCACTGCTTTGCCACATTGAGTCATTAGCTCAGTTAACTTGGGGTCATCTTGGTTTGTCCAGCTGTGGTCAGACTTCAGAGGTGCTGAACGTGGGCCTCCTGTGGCTGATCGTAGATAACCTGGAAGCCCTCTTGGTGCTCCTGACCTCCAGAGTGATGAAGTAGTAGCAAAGAGCATCCAGGCAGCAGGTGACGTTAGACAGACACAGGGAGAGCTGGAGGAACAGACTGATGCGAGTTTTTGAGCTGCAGTCCACAATCACGCCCTGGTGGACCTAAACAGTGAAAATGCAAAGCCATTTGTCACAGATTTTCTCCATAATATATTAAACTTTAAAAATGACTACAAATACGCTGTTACACACAATGTTATTTTGCCTTTAGATCCCCACCTATTAGCACTTATGTGATATTTGTCACATTAACAGTTTGCGTCCTAGTTACACAGGTTACACTGATTTATAATATTATCTCAAGAGAAGATTTTAAGATTTTTTTTCATCATCGCAAACGATTACAAATATATTATTGCATACACTTAACACACAATACATTTTAATGATAAACTTTTTAACATTTATATATATATATACTTTTTTATTTTAATGTGTGTTTTATTTACAGATAAAACTACAATATACTACACAGAATTTGTATATTATTTTACTATATAAATAAAATAGCAGAATATAGTATCTATCTAACTTAAAAGTCATTACAAAATGTACCTAAAATTTAAGACGGATTTAATTTTAGAGGTCCACATAATCTTATTAATTTTACTATGGGGGATCAAATGCATACCTGTGTATTTTTATTTGGTAATGAACTTCACATTCTAGCTTTTTCTGTGCTTACCAGGAACTGCAACAGGATGGCCAGGTGGCTGGGTGCTAGGGGAAGCAGGAAGGAGCACAGACTGCTGTAGATGTACTTGATATAGGCTATGCTCTGTGAACTGCGTTGCCCTGAAAGTTGCAGTGCCCAGATGGTCTTCACCGAGCAGTAGACCACCACCAAGGAGGGCACCAGGAACCCAAACACCTGAAGGCAGATGATGATCACCGGCCTCCAGCCTTGCGCAGAAAATCTATGAAAGCAGTGAATTTCGGTACGTCCTGCTTGTCTAAAACTGGAGATGGTCGTTGAGATAACTACCAGCACTAGCGCCCACACACCTACACATATCCCCAGGGCTTTTCTGCGTGATCGCCGTTCCTTGGCCTTATAAGGGTGACATATGGCCAACCAGCGATCCACAGCTATACTCATAATAGTGTAAATGCTGCCATAAATTCCAAAAAAATACAGGGCTTCCAGGACAGAGCAAAGTGTCTGTCTGTGAGCTGACCACAAGTTGTTGGCGGCATGCATCTTGAAAGGAAGGGGAAAGAGGAGCACAAGGTCCACTAGTGCCAGGCTGGTCATGTAGATGGTGGTCTCCGTCCATTTGGGAAGAATACAACAGAACACAATCAGTGCTCCAACATTACTAGCAAGACCAAGTAAAAAAATGGGCACATAGATGGCTAGCTCCAAATGTTTCATCAGTTCATCCACAAATTCGAACGAGCAGTTGTTTGTCATAGTGAAAGCGGTAGAGCTGTGAAGAGATTTTGAAGTGTCAAAAAAGAACAAAAAAGAAAAGGCTTGAGAATGTTTCTGAGCTAGTTCCCACAGTCGATCAAAGTTTCTAAAACCACCCAAATGTGTGGGTTTCGGAAACTTTTTAGTCACTACTGTTTTGAACCTACAGCACATACACAGACTAATTACATAACAAATAATTTTATGCAGTGCTTGCTTTGGCACACTGGAACAGTTAAAGGCCATTCTGTTGAGTTAATGTTAAATTATAAAAAAATATATCTTTTTCCTTTTTTTTTATTTTATTTAAGAAACTAGAATAAACTTAGTCTTATTCTATACAAATATACATTACCAGTGAAAAGTTTGGACACACCATCTCATTCAATGTTTTTTGTTATTTGTATTACTTTCTACATTTTATATACATGCAAAAGATAACAAATATAAATTTATTTCAGATTTTTTTTTTTTGACAAAACAAAGGGTGGCTACTTTGAAGATTTGAAGCTAATTTTTATTTTTTTTTCTCACAAAATTAGTCCAGTTATTCAACTTTTTTTTACTTTGCTACATAATTTCACATACAGTATCTCTCGTCATATATTTGATGGTTTTAGTAAGTATACAAAATGTAGAAAGTAATGTAGAAAGAGTGTACGAAGACTGTGTAGATAGATTTTCATTAGCATTTGGCTGCCATTTAAAGCTACATAGATGCAAAAACAATGTTACTGCATGAAACAATTGTCAATCATCAACAAGTACTGCCAATAAGTATTTAACCTTAGCTGTCTCAAACCTATTACCTACTTAGTCCTGATATAAGAGCTATATCAGTAGTATGTGTGAGTGTGTGTAGGTGAGAGCTTACCACACTGATGTTCATTCAGTTGTTTTGGGTCATGTGTGGCGGTCTCAGCAGTGCCACCCAGACACACTTCTGCTTTCTTCCACTTAAGTTTCATCACTTCCTGACTCATGCCAGTCGTCATGTACATTAGGATTTTTTTTAAAACCCCAAAAACAAAGCCAATGTGACACTGTTCAACCTTTTAAGTATAACTGTGCCACAAAAATCTGTTTCTCAAGCTTTAAAATTATCCATGAATATTTTCTTGCTAATTTGAATTGCTTTAACAAGGGTAAAATGTTTCAGTTAAATAATTAAACTAAAACCAAAAGTGTCACTGGGTTTTTTTGTTGCAGGAAGTATTTTTCAAAATTGTTAATGCTTCAAAATATGATGCCACTTTCATATGACCCTCATGTGATAAATGTGATAGACAGTTGTTCCTCTAATTTCAAAAGTTAGTGGGACAGAGACTCGAATCGCTGGTTGTTCTTTTTGGTTTCAGGTGCTGAGATGACTTGGGCGCAGGATACGGGCTGAGATTTATGTGATCTTTTGAGAATGCAAATACAAACCACAGTAGGACCAATAGGTAAGATGAATTATAAATTGGGTCTTGGGGCCCCAAACAATGTTCCAAGTAACAAACAAAAACTAAAGATACAATTGTAAAATTCAGTTTAACAACTTTGAAACCACATTAATCTTTGTACATCTATAACGACAAAAGATTAAAAAAAAAAAAGAAAAAATACTGAATACCTTGAGAATAATAACATAAGTCTGTTGGGAGACAAGAGTTCAGGTTTACTTTTATAAATTGTATTTGCCATCACAGAAAATACTGAATGTGATCATTGCTAATAATGTTTCCATGGCAGCTGAGACAAGTCGCTCTTTAGCACCCCATTACTCGGTTTGTATTTACAAAAATACAAATCTGCATATCTATTGTCCTCTTTGGTTTCTACAAATATATGGGTTCAAAACAACAAAACAAAAACATGAAAAAACACAAACAAGACTAAAATGAGTTGGAGCTCTGAAGCCACTGTGTAATTGCAGCAGCATTTTGCACTGGAAGAACCAGCCAGTTTCACATTGTCTTTGAAGGAGAACATTTGAACATGAAGCTTTGAACAGGAAATCTAATATTAGGCTGCTGCCTTAAAGGGACCTGCCACATTTAGCATCTAGCGAAGCAACTCATCATTGATGAGGGGGAAGGCAGTATGGGAGCCGAGAAGTCGAGAAGACACCCCTCTAAAAAAAAAAAATCACAAACTCACAGTTCTCCAAACACGTACACACTCATACCACTCTCACACATGCACAAGGCGGGGCTGCTTTAGGAGGCTGTGAACTTTCGGAGGGCTATGACGATGAGGGCAAGGAGGACAGACGCTCCCAGGAACACTGCTATCACAATGGCTGTGATGGCCCCGGGCCCCAGGGCGTCTGTATGGACATAAAGACAAAACACCTAGTGATCTACAGATGGAGGGAACTAAAACATTAACCTATTTTAAAAACTGTTAAAATGTGCAATTTAACTTTTGGACATTGGAATTGTGCTTTGACCATTCACCTTCTTCCTCTTCCAGGGTGTTACTGGTTGTGGTGTCGTCGTAGTCGGAGGTTGTTGTTTCAGGGAAGGGGTCTTTAGTGGTGACATCAGTGGGCAAGTCATCTCCAGACGTGTCCTGGCTGTCTTGAGACGTTACTGCAGGATGTAGTGTTTCTGGAAAGTGTAATAGTTTAATGTGAGACTGGTGGAAATGTATTTGAGAGAGGAGCTGTAGTTACTTTACAGACTGTCACTGTCCGGCCTAACGGCTCAGAACCTTGTATAAGGCCCTCTTTGTAGGTTACACATCTCACCGTTTACCCACACATCATGCTTAACGTGTTTTATTTTCCATTAGGACTTAACTACCATGCATTTATGCTGCAAATCAAACTACAAATAGACAATGTTAACTCAAATGTAACCATGTTTTGATAGATCAGACAAATGTAAGACTGTGTTTACTATCCCCCTAAGATTAGGGCTGATTTTTTCAAAAACATCTTAAGTGCATCCCCAGTTAAAGCTGAAGGTTTTGAAACCCTTTGGAGTATAAACAAATGTTTGGGCTCTTTGTGACACTGACTCTCTGATTATAAGTGGTAACAAGCCATTTGATTTAAAATTCCTCTTAGATTTTAGTTTATTTTGGTAAATATAAAGGAGTAAAGGTGCCATCTGGAGAGATAGACTGATAGACAGTAGATTGAGCAATTGTTTGGTGTCGACAATTTTTATTTCAAATTTGAAGCATACATCACTAAAGCACTTGTAATCCAGATGCAATGCCGATTAAAAAATAATTTAAATTGGTATTTTATTTGTGCATTTGGAGAAGAAACTGATTCCAATTCTTCCCAGAATGGATGATTTCATTGAAAATAAATGGGTTACAGCTTTCCCTTTATGTTAATATTAACATGTCTAATGGCTTGAAAATTCACTTTTATCAGGTGGCTGACAAAAGGGACCCTCCTCATCTTAACATTAAAAGTAAAATACAATAGTCAGAACACAAGTTGCCTGTTCTTATAGACAATGTACAATAACTACTGCCATTCAAATATATAAAATATACAATCCCCATTTTAGCTCGCAAGCTGAGGTCACCATCTTGTAATCAAACAACCATTAAGCCATTTGTGTGAAGTCCTAATTGCAAAGGGAGGAATATTTGATCCCCATCTTCAGAAGTAAATAAACTGCACACACAAGCCAATCCATTCACTGATCCCATCCTCAACGGGACTCACACCAAGAAAACCAATGTTTACCCTGTGCTTATTTAACGCTACATATTTACTTTGTACCTTCTGGCGCCCACCAAAAATTCTCTCAACCCATTTTCCTTCTATAGGTCCTTAGAAAATACTTCATGGGAAGTGCAGTACATAATGCATTGGAATAAAACACAAACGCCAGGGTACAGTCTAGTCATAATGTTTGGATGTGTAATTTCTGTGTTTTGATGTTACCATGTTGACTCTGTCTTGTGCAGCTTCCTGTGCACAAACTGGCCCGAGTTTTGGAGTTTGGGGCCTCCAGCCAACATGGTCATCAATGAGGCCTTGAGCTGTAGGCACAAAAGGCAGCTTGTGCGGTCAACAGCCAGTAACAACCGGCCCAGGCCCAAAGCAGGTACGAACCGGCCACTCGATGTCAAACAAACTTGTTTATTAAATAGTGTCTATGTACGGAAACCTGTCTAGCGGATGGGCAGAAGGGAAAATTAAATATGGTCTCATTGACTTGATCATATTTTTGTGTATGTATAATATTATATTTTTATCATAACGTGTTCTGTGTTCCATGATGTGGTGTTACCATATTAAAAATGAAACTTTGATTCGACTCATAGCTGTAATGTTGATTTACTCACATAAATAAACCATCCAAAAAGAAAGCTGAAGCCCTCCTTGCCTAGTGTTGCCAGATTCTATGCCAAAAAAAACTTTAGATTTGAGCCCTCAGTTATTGTACATTCTTATTCAGCAGGAGTTTACCTTAAGTTTTCGTTTTTTTTCCAAGTTGGAGTTAGATTCTTACTTGAAATCACGCTTGAAGAAGACATGCTCCAGCTGTCAGTCCTTTAATACTTATAGCAGAAATTCAAAAGCCTGATAAATCTTGGTAAAGTCCCAGAACACACTTAAAACACAGGACCATTTGTTAGTTTCTCCAGTCAGGATTTCACACTGGCCAGAGAGATGGCAACGTGAGCAGACAGGCGTGCGTGAAAAACGTACTATTCCCAAACTGGACACTGGCTCTCCGCTTTGGCCCCCTCGAGGCCTTGTTTCATACTTTTTAATTGTATGAGTCAGTGAGCTTTTCTGACACATCCCATCGTATCTCCCATGCTGGGCTAACTGCGGAGTGTCACGATGCTTGAATCATCAGGTTGGTGGTGTGGTCAGGACTGTTGGAGAGTTGCAACCAAAACATTTTGACACAGCCACACCAACATCACAGTAGGGGAACAAAGTCATCCATAGTACAGTTTCAAATAAGAAAACTTGACTTTCAATAAGAGACCCTAATACTGATGCACGTCATAAAAGAGCGTGATTATACAAGGACAACTGTAACACTAAGCTGACAAAAACAAGGTCTTCACAGGTCAGATTTTTCAGTGACTTTGGCATCTCACATTTTGTCTCAGGAAATGGGCAGCTTGTCAACCCAGTGGCCTCTTGACCCTAACTTAGATCAGTACGTGACTAATTTGCAAAGATGTTTTTGCTGTAAGCAAGACCAAAACGTAATTCACAGCTTTTTCATATCATGCCATTTTTCATCTATAAAATGTTCAAATCTGCCAACATTGTACCCTCTCAAACCAGCCTCTGTGAGATTTGGGCTTAATGTGCGTCATAGGTGGTAAGTGTTGCGTTTCAGACGATTTCAGGATTCATGAAAGCCACTGAGTCATCCTGTTTGTCAAAGCACAGCATTCACAGCTCCAACAACTGCATCTTTTACACCGAGTAGCACCGCACATCCAACTCATGCATGCGTGTGGCAAAAAGGAGGAATGTCCAGACATACTTTAAACATTTTAGTATTTTAGTGCAAATTCACAGGTACTAAGTTATTGTATTAAAAAAATAATAAGTGTTGCACTGAATTTCCCTTGGGATTAATAAAAGTGTCTCTCAATCTGTTTTAGAAAAATGAATGCAAAGTTATAATAAGCTTCTTACCTGTGTTTACAAGGTTTACCAAGAAGCCTAGAAGCACAAGAAGGACCATTCTGCAAATAACATTTCTTGGAACCATGGCGATGAAGTGAAAGGCTCGTTAGTAGCCCAAAATCTGGTCCTGCTGTAATGGGATTGAAGAAGAACATGGAAGTGCACAAGAGGGGAAAGGTAGGTCTAGGCCCTATAAAATGGGGAGGGGCGAGGTGCGTACTGCCCAAGACGGGACTGTCTGACTCTGGACAGTGTGTACTTTGTGAAACATCATTGAAAGCACACCCTCCCGAACCTCAGAGTTTTGGGTTAAATACAAGATGACCTTGGGGTCACTTGAGTTTGTGTTACACGTAGTTGTGAAGTGTAAAATTCAGAGAGGTATCAAAAGGGCACATTAGATCAAACATTGCATTTACCTACTGAAAAAAGCATATCTTTCAATTTTAAAGTCTACACTCATGTCCTAAGAACTTGACAACGTAGTGATTTAGATTAAGTAGCATGTGATGAACAGTAAACAATGAATTTTTTATAGCAATGTAAATATGGTAGAAAATTGCCACTTCCTCAAAAACAGAGTTTCACTTCCTACATTAAAAAATTTAATAATGAAAGACTGCTTCATTGACATGCAACTTCCTAAACAGGAATAGTACATCATCATCTTGTAGAATATTTGCCGATATATTTGTTTGTGGAACTGAATTGAGGTCACACATGTGTACAGCCCACTCATAAGACTGTTTTATTTCATACCGCAATAAAAAAGTATGACTCCAGCAGTTCATTTCCATATAATATAATACAGATGCAGAGTTGAAATTTTATTCTTTAAACAGCCTAGTATTTTACAAGAAATAGATAACTAGTTGGAACTTTTGAAGATGTCCTTAAAACAGGACATTAGCGGGCATGAATCCTTGGGCTCTACTATGCCATTACTATCCATGAACACCCAGCCAAAACAGAGGGGAATAGAAGGATTGGAAGGGAGGGGGATCATTTTCAATAAATAAAAATAATAAAAAAAAAACATTGGATATATTCTGTCTACCCTTTCCCATAATAATCCCAACACCCCACCCATGTACACCCACAAAAGTCCAGAAGGAGGCCAGATTTTAAATGGTCACTGCTGACATTTTCAGCTTCCTAAAATGAATATTTATATATTCATTTTCACTGACCATAGATGTAGTTCTATTCTCAAAGTTTCTGCTCAAATAGATTCTTTAAAAGGCAAAAAGATGTCTGCCTTTGAGGTCACAACTGGGATGGTTGAAGAAACTGAAAAATCAAGGCAGACTGAAAAAGTAGCAGGGCCGAGGGGAGAGGTTTGGGTAAAACAGCTGTTGTTCAAACTGGATAAAAGTCACTGGGGCTTTGCTTGGCTGCAGTCCCTTAAAAGTCCTCCAAAGTCTCAATTTCTCCCATATTCAGTCTCTCAGATGATGCATTCACAGAGAAACCTACAACATATAACACAACTTAAATAAATGTTGCACAGATGAGAACTGATCCAACCTAATGCAGCATTCCTCACCTAAAAGGCTGGGGTCTGCACGAACCATCTTCTGCTTCTTTTTCTTCTTCCCTGAGGTGACTGTTTCAAAGCGCTGCTGCTGACCGCTCATATGATTAGACTGATAAAGAGAGGAGGATCCCGTACTGCCCCATACAGAATCCTGAAAATATAAAACAGACTTTTTACAAAATTACACTCATCATGTACAATAAATATTACAGCGATATGAGTGACAAAACAGTAATCCTCTATAAACGGAAAGCAAAAAGTACAGCTGGAGTTATTATACCCATAAAGCAAGATAAAGCCAAAGCCTATCAAGCCAAAGTCAAAGCTTAAATAATTTTTCACTATGACAAAACAAAGAAGTCACTGAGCTGCTGTAGTAACAAGAACTCAAGAACAAACGTGGTGCAGAGTAGAGCTTGCTACTGAGAAGCAATATTATTTACTGAATAGATAGACACATTCTTTAGTGTCCCGAAGGAAATTCATATTTCAGGCAGCATACAATACACAATACAGTACATAATATAATACATAACATTAATTTAATACATTTATCAAATTATAGTGAAGCGTTGACTACTAGTAGACAATATTAAAAAGTAAACCACAAAATGGGCCGTGAGATTGATAAGCTGGTGGGTTACAACTAGTAAAAGTATTTTTGCTTCCATGTCAGACTACATGCCAAGTTTAGTATTTAGCATCTTCAAAATTTCCATAATGTTTTACACGCTTGTCTGGTTAAAAAGAAAAAAAAATGAAAATGAAAAAAATTAGACAGCTGTTGATAGTCTCGTTTGATATAAGTCAACCATCTGCATACTCCAACACGCATGAAACCTGCGTCTGTGGATGCCGCATAGATCAAAGAGGCACACATTATGTAGCTGATATATTTTGTTCAAATAATTTCAAGTATGCACTTCAGTTTCACAGTAGTAAATCAAACACTGAATTCTTCTGTAGGATAAAAAAAATTGTAATTGCTTATAGGTGCATTATGCAACTTTTCTAATGGAGGGTCTGCCACCTGCTTGCCTCTGTAGTGATGTTATTCTTTTGCCCAGAATGCTCCACAGTATGGCATTTGAATGTATCTATCAAGCAATTATTTAATCACAGGTGTTTTTATTGCACAAAATTAAGTGAAATATATGCAAATATGTGAGCTTGCTTGTCTCTCCATAGATCTGACCTGTAAAATGGCTTGGTGACGCCACCTGCTTGTCGCTATGTGCATCTGACTTTAAAGAAATATTTTAGAACATTTAGGTAAAGCCAAAAAAAAACACCTGAAGACAATCATATTCTCTAGAAAAGTTACACAGTGCACTTTTAAGATTTAACACAAACAAAATGTGCTGATATTTTATGCTGTGGTTGTTTGTGTGAAGGGTTCTGGGCAGAGCAGAGTGTGGTGTAGCACTGTTTTTGTGACACTGGTTTGGAACTGGACACCAAGGAGTTGTTTTTTTTTGGCTTTTACTACATCTCCTCTTTCAATTGTAGGTCTCTCACTCACTCCAGAATAATTTCTTTAAAAATGAAAGCTTTGTGCTTATTTTCATTTATAATTTTGCTTCTCTTAATCTGGCTTTCCTAGAATCTCTGGGTTAATGGGCATCTTCGCATATGATTATTTTTTCAAGGTTTGAGTTGTAGCTAGGACAGCAGAAGAAACCTTGGTCAACCCACAATTATTACAATGATTATTGCTCATACAATTACAGCTATATTATTATTTTTTCCTTCGGGATAATGCATGTATATTATGTATCTACCTACCTATCTATCTATCTAGTCCAACTCACCTGCTGCTGCTTGGAGGACTGGTTTTGAGGAGCCTGTCTTTGATTCATATTCTGTTTGGCACGACGTTCAATAAACTGCTTGGCAAAGTCCTTCGCCTCAGGAGTGTCCCCCAAGTACGCCCTCACATAGTCGTGCACCTCATATGGCGAGTCTACTTCTTTGAGAAAAGAAGCAAATGTAGGAACTACAGGAAAGAGGAGCAAGTTATCATTTCATATTTTATTTATACAAGACAGTGAAGAGTTAATAGTTTAGAACTGAATGAACTTACCATCCAGGTTATTGGCTGTATTGAGAGAGTGCAAAGTTTGTTCACACCACTGCATAAAGGTGTCTTGGCTTTTATTCACTCCTTGAAACAACTTAAGCAGCTTCTCCTCCTCTTCGACTTTTTTGCTGGCTCGCCCACTCAAAGAATTACTTTTGGAAGAAAACAGCAACACATCAGACCTCATGCATTACTCATACCTTCATCATAAGTCAGCGCTTTCCCTTATGAATGATTTTACATTTTGCTTAGCATTTACCTGAGGTTGGCATTTCCCTTGTTTTTCTGAGAATTGCTTTTTCTAGTTTGTGCAGGCGGCTGGGTGACTTCCTTTATTGCTTCATCCCAGAAGCCCATGTTAGAGTTGTGGGTGTCCCCCCATATACTGCTGGAGTCTGAGCCCCAGTTTGAAGAAGGGTTGACCGCACCCCACACAGAGCTACTCAGGGCAGTCTAGAATAAAAAAAAAACAGGGTACAAATTCAGTTTAATCTAATAATTGTAGTAACTGTTGTTGCTGAGACAGCAAAAAGCCAGAAAAAAAAAATGTGCACAAAATGTCACAGCTGATGATGCAAAGTAAATTCTACGATGTAAGTGGTCATAAAGACAAATTTAGTTCTAAATCAAAGCTTTCAGGAAAAAAAAAAATCTCAAACGAGCTCTAGTGGACCCTCTGGTGTCCAGTGATGGAATAGTTAGTGTTGCATAAGCATACCTACATTTAGTATGCAACACAAGCTCGAAGGTATTGAAAATAAAAGTACGTACTGTTCGATTCTGTGCGCGGGTTGGTGGTGGGACAGTGGATTGGTGCTGCTCCTTTCGCTGCTTCATTTGCTGAGCTTCCTCCCTCTGGATCTCCAGCAGAGACTTGGTAGCTGCAGGCTGTTTGGCCACAGTGCCCCATCCCGACAGTTTGGCCTGGGGCTGTGCTGCCTGCAGAAGGGCTTGCTGCTGCTGGAGCTTCAGCAGCTCCTGCTGCTGGCGACGCTGCTGTAGACACAAATCAAGGCATGTCAACATGCTTTGATTTGTGTCTACATTCACAATTCATCATTTTCATTTTCTCTTACCTCCTCTCGCGCTTGACGTTCTCTTTCTTCTTCAAGTTTTTGGATCTCGGCTAGAGACAGAGTGTTCTGATTCTGGTTTATAGAGTTAGTCGTCTGCTGGCCCCACTTTGAGGAAGAAGGAAGCTAACAAATATAAAGATATAAGTATTATGTACAAGTGCTAGCTTAGGTTTAACACAGTGATGTCAGAATTAGTCCTGTACCTTCATCTGTGCAAGTTGATGCTGTTGCTGCTGTTGCTGTAGCTTCCGCAGCGCCTCCTGCTGTTGCTGTCTCTGCCGCTGCAGCTCCAGTTGCCTTTGAGCCTCCTGCTCTCGTCGCTTCTGCTCCTCCAGCTGCTGCTGTGCCAGAGCAGCTGCAGCCTCCTCCTCTGCACGCTTCTCCTCCTCACGTCTTCTTAAGGTTTCCAGTTCTTCCTGCTTCCTGCGTTCCTCTTCCTAATGTGGACCACTTGTTATTGAGCAATATACTGCAGATGCCAAAACATGATTATCTTATTGTAAGACATACCTGTTTGCGGAGAAACTCTTCACGTTTTTTCCTCTCTTCTTCTTCTCTCCGTCTCTCCTCTAACCTACGCAGAGCTTCTTCCTGGGCCAGCCTTTCCTCCTCCTCTTTCTGTCTCCGCAGGGCCTCTTCTTCCTCTCGTTGTCTCCGTAGTGCCTCCTCCTATAGAGTGACAATGTTGAGATGTGTTCTGGGGAAAAGTGTCTATAACCACACCTGAGCATCAGACCTGTTTTTTCCGTGCCAGTTCTTCCTCTTCCAGGCGTTTGCGTTCCTCCTCCTGCCTGGCCCTCAGCGCCTCCTCCAATCGTTTCCTTTCTTCTTCTTCCCTTTTAGCCCGCAGTTCAGCTTCACGCCTTTCCATTTCCAACTAAATATGTAACAGAACAAATTATATTTAATTTTAGTAAAACTAAAGACACGTGTTCAGATTGCTTTGTTACAATATTTAATCAATCAACAACAAAAAAATTTATTTTGTGGAATTTGACAACGAAGCTATTTTTCAACATATATTACCTTTGCAGCTTTTGACTTCTCTAGCTGTTGCATCTGCTGCATCTGCTCTAATGTGGGTGCCGGTGCCAATGAATCTATAGGCAAATCCCAAACACTGCTACCATCCCATGCTGTAAAATTAGAGTAAATTTAAATAGAGTTTATAAATGATACATGTTTTAAAATGAACACTCACTGCTGGGAGCACTTTGTTGTAGGTTTGGTGTACACGTGGCCTGAGATGAGGTGTTCTGCATCTCCCACACAGAACCAGAGTCTGTTACAGACAGGGAGCGTGTGACTGCAGGTAGGAGGCTTTCAGATGCCCTGAAACCATAGACATCAGCAGTCAAATACAGTAATATTATGATATCAATGCAACCATGCTTCCTTGAAATGTCATCAAGTACAACCACATATTGTACCTAATCTTAAGAGCCTGATATTGCTGTAGGAGGAGGTTGATCTGCTGTTGGTGCTGCTGCTGCTGTTGGAGAGGAGCAGAGCTGAGGGCAGCAGCTTTCTGTTGGGCCAAGGCCTGTGCATATTGCTGCCTGAACAAGAATGAGCATAACATGACAAACAGAACCACTACTAGGGTAATACCTTTTAATGCAGATCATGTACCTGAGAAGGTATTGATATTGGAGCTGTTGTAATTGGTATAGAGCACTGATCTCCTGTTGCCGTTTCAATCTCTCTTGATCTGTATCGGCCTGGTCATGACACAAGTCAGAAAAAAATATTTACCATATAGAAGGGCACGTAGTACTGACAAAAGTTAGATAAGCACACCACCTTGAGCAAATAAATGGTACTGCATATAAATATAAAAAGGGACTAACACGCACTGGGAGAGGCGGAGGAGCAGGGCCTGGTGTGAATGGTACTCTTCCCCAGATCTTCATGATCTCACCCAAAGGTTGGAATGTCTCGTCACATCCTCTTTTAACTAATAGAGACATGGTGAAATAACCAGCCTGGAACCACTCTGACATCTCCTGGTTATTGAAAGGACCTGAACAAAGGCAGCTGCTTTAGTTTAAAATTTGGAGCAAACTTTTGGTTATTCTGGTATAGCCCTACCTTGTATTTCTCCTTGTGGGTCTTTATAAAACCACTTCAAAGCAGCTTCATGAGACAAAGGTAAACCTGCTGTTTTGGGCTTCTCTGAACTCTTGGCTGAAAGTCTGTCATCATCAGCCACTCCATCCTGTAGATAAGCTACCATTTTTTCTGCCTCCTGAAAACGGAAGGAAGATAGAACCAATAAAATTAAAAATAATAAAAACTGTTTTAAGGAAGGAAGGACATACCTGCTCAAAGTGTTTTAATCCCTCATCCTCATCCGTTTCATGTGACACAGTTGTGGGCCTGCCAATGGGTGTCATTATATTAGATGAGAAGGGTAAGGGTGCGTTTGTTGCCACAGGACACTCCATAGGTTTTTGCTGTGGTAAGTGGACAGTGTGCACTGAAACAGGATGTTCTAAGGAAAAAGAACTCATGTTAAATTAGCAGTTAACTTAAATAATTAGCAGTGTGTCAAGATTTCTTGCAGATGCAAGGCTTACCTGTATGGGCAGTGGAAATGTGACTTATAGAGATGGGCTCCAGCAGGCTGTTGGATATAGGGATCTGCAGGGGGACTTTACATGGCTCGGGTGGGAGCTCAAGTGGAGGAAGTCTGTCTGTCCGCTCAGCTGGCCTCTCAGGCTCATCTATCCTAGCAGGTTGGGACTGGGATAATGACTGGACAACAGCTGGCTCCAAGATGGGGGTGGCAACAGGTGACACAACAGGTGGTGCCTCTTCTTGCACTCGAGGCAATTCTTAAAAAACAAACAAAAAACAAAAAAAACACACACACACACACAAAAAATATTTGTTTGAAAAGTTTTAAATCACTTAAGAAAAAACAGTGCATAGTCTTTTCAGGGTTAATGTCTGAATATTCAGCCTTTTCCCAAAGACATTTAATGGGAGCAGCCCCAGGGGTTGATTATGTGTAGAACTCGATACAGGAGTGCTATATCAATTACATATCAGACTCATACCAGGTTAACTTTACATTACTGATTAGTCAATTCAGGGTTTTGGACATAAATATTTACTTTGCTAAGTGTACTTGAAAACATTTTTGTGAAACGTGGAACTTGATTAAAATGAACCTTTTCGGTCAGTCTCCCTCTTGGCTTCAGTTTCTATTTCTTTGGACTCTTGTAGTCGACACTCATCCTCCTCCAGACCCTCTTCACACTCATCTGGCTTTAAGTCCAGTTCTGCTTCTTCCATAATGGGCTCCTTTGAGGCCTTCTAATAACACAAAGATAAGTTGTTTTTCCTCACTAATGATGATACTTGAGTGAGGATGTTTTGTAATACTTTACTTTGAGTGACAAGAATGCCCCCGAAGAGTCAAAAGTACCAGCCTCCTCTTCAGCATCCTCCAGACACCATTCTGGGAGGCTGTCCCTTTCATCCTCCAGGCTTCCACTGCCTGACCGTGGCCTCCTGTAGCCACGCTCTTCGTCCCTGGCATCAAACGGGAAACGCCGCCGTTGATCTGGGTGTTCCCGCCACCCAGCTGAGCGAGGTCCATCTATAAGAAGATTTCAGACAGTAAGATTTTCAGGCATCACATTCATTCACAAGTACCTACTAAATGCTCAATTTGTAAATGTATGTTGGACTGCAACAACTGATTAGATAAATTTGATTTATTTAACCCCTCATTGTAATGATTCATTAAATTTGGTAATAATCAGAATTTGTAGTATTCTTAAGTCTTAATTACCAACAGAGCACAAAATCTATGCAGGCTGTAGGTACTTTAACATTACACAGTAGTATAGTATTAATAGCAGTTGTATATGAAAAGGAATATAACTTGTTTGACAGGCATTACGTGGCGAGTGCCCACCTGGGCTTGGGGGGCACCAGCGGTCACTGTCCCGTCGAGAACCTGCCAGGCGCCAACCCCCCTCATCATCCTCACCGTTCTGATCATCACGAGAAGTGCGCCAGTTCTCACTCTCAGAGCGTATGAAGTCATGCTTCCTTGGTATGCCTGTCCCAGCCTCCTCATAGTTCCCCCGGACTGCAAAAATCACAACAATGGATGTCTTCAGGGCTTCCTTCAATTCTGCATTTTATAATACTTTTTGCGTATTTGAAAAATTTATTATGAATGAACGAATCCAGTTTTAGATTACAGTTATTAAATGGCTATGCAACCTGAACACAAACTGTTATAACAAGGTGCTTCATGGCCATGTTGGCTTCCTTGACAAAGTGATGCCTATTAGCTTTACTATTTTTGCTCTATACTGTTGAATTAGCTCAAAAGAATACACCACAGCATGCAAAATAAATAGGTAATTAGGTAGAATTGTCCTATAGCAGGTCACGTAGGATTAAATAGAATAACAGTGCCATTTCTGCCATGTCACATGTACACTCCCTACAAAGTGATCAACTTAATGTTATGGTAGGACACCCTGTATAGGATACACCTTTACTTACCATGATTAATCTGGAAATGTCCAGGAGCAGCATCTTGGAGGTTGAAACAAAAAAACAATAAATATAACATTTAGCATAGATCAACCTTAATAATTAAACTTTTTTCAACAAACCTGGTTCTTTTCTGCCTGGTTTATCAAACCTTCTATCTGCCCTAAAAATATTTTACAAATACATTTAGAATAATTTTTAACACATTTGAAAATGTATATGAACAGTACCTTTCTTCCCAACTCTGAGAACGATGCATCTCTCGCCCTCCACGGCCAAACCCTTCTACATCATCAAAACTTCTTTGGTAAAATCCTCCATCACCTCTTCCCCGACCTACAATTGTTAAATTATAAATTTCATGTGTCTACCCTTATTAAAATCCACATGTAAAAAAAATAATGACAGAAAACAATTGAGGCACTTGGTTACTGACTACTAAATGTATCCTGTGTAAGAATAAAAGTGTGGATTGTCTCAAGTAATAATCAGTGCCTGCACTGTGTCAGTAAAACCTAGCTGTTGCTCGAAAAACTTAAGTCTCAAAATATATCTATAATTTTTGTGTCGAGCTATACCTCTTCCCCTTGATGTACTTCGACCTCTTGGTGCCCCTACTATCGGACCACTTCCGCGACCTGTCAGTCGAAGTACAGCTGCACTGTTTACAGACATGGAAAAATTTCTCTGCAAATAAAGCACAGGTTGCATGGTTATGTTTATGTAAAATATAAATGTTGTTTCCACATCTTGAGTGACATCTACCTGTTCCTCCTCTGTAAAAGATACGAGGGCCAGAGGTGGTAAAGGCTCCTCTTGCAAAATGGGAAGGAACTCCTTGTCATGTAGGTCTATAGGAATCTTGACATAAACAACACAATTTTCTTAAGAGGATAAAGATTAAACCATTTGTATTTTTTCTTGTCACACACACACAATCTTGAAAACTAAAAGACAGTATCCACCTTATTCCGTCCCGCCCACTTTTGTCTCCATGCTTTGTCTCATGCTTTTTGTGGTGACACTTCTGATTAAACAGGAATCCCATTCATGACAATAGAGAATTCGGGAAAGGTTTTGCATCTTAAATATGACATCAAGTAGGTTCATTTGTGTAAAATGTTCAATTTTCATGTGCACCAACATGTAAACACTGCACCAATTCTCTCAGGGGTTTTAAAACGGCTTTATAGTCTGGATTGAATTTATTTGCTGTCAAGAGCTGAAGCCCCATACAAAATATTACAACCTGAATGATAATGGTGGCGCACACGGCAACTTCCGGAATAAGGTGGATAGAGGAAATGCATGAAAAATGACTCACTTTGTTATCCTTTATATAAAGTGCTAACATTTCTTCTCTCCCATAGCGATAGTCTGCAAGTTTGTACTTTGGCAACGCAGGTGAAAGTGGAGGGGAAGAGACAGAGTTGCTGCTTCCACCTCCACTGCTGCCACCACCCCCTCCAGACAGGGCTCGGAGCCTGACAAGAACACAAAAAACACAGTAGTTTGCCTTACAATTAAGTATCAAGTGGGATGACCCAAGCATAAAATAATAATAAAAAAGATATATAAAGAACAGATTTGCTTGATTACCATTCTGGTCCAAAGTTGAGTGTCTGGGTTTCTGCCATTCTTCTCTAAATTCTATTAAAATAGAAAATAAAATACAAATGCAAAATCAAAAGTATATTATTATCAAATTAATGTATAATTAAACTATGCAAGCATTGAAAATAGTTATTTTTTTCTAAATATGCATATGCTTTATATTTTAGGCAAGACCTCAATGTATTGCAAGGACACTTCCCACTCCATACTCCAAGTGCAACCAGTGTACAATTTCAAATCGGCTAAATCTATTTTAGGAAGTTGCTCTTTCTGCAAAAGTATTATGGACACCTGTATTTGTCAAGTAGAATATATGTAACCAAGTAATAATGAATCTTTTATCCTGTCACCAGTTGATTCATACAGACATAGCCCCCTGGTGAATCTGTGGCATGTAGGCTCGAAAAAAAAAAAAAATCACTCGCACAGGCACAAGTTGACCATATGGACTAGACAGCCACGTGTGAGTAGGTAAAGCAACATTTGCCTCTCCTTCTATAATCTACACGTTTTAAATTCCTTGAAATATTGATTCCACTAAAGCAAACTATTCTGCAGTCATGAGCAAGAACAAGAACAAGACACAGTTGCAAAGTGAACTACCTGCACCTTTCCGAAACAAAACAGTTTTTATTGTAATGAAATCTCTTAAAAATCTCGCTTTAAAAAAACAAAAAACAACCAAAAACAAAAAAAAAAAAAACGGTCAACTCATTCTCATCGTGCAACAATTTTGTCATGGCTAGTACAGTTACGTTACTGCAGTAGGGCAAGTTTAAGAGGAGAGACACAATTTGTATGACAACGTTAAATACATGTATTAGACAACATGACATATGTGCTGCCCAATATATTATACTAACACTGAACAGGTATTATAATGCGGATAGAAAATGTGCGAATCGTGTAACAATAATCCACTTTTAACACTCGTGGGCCATTTACCAAAGCTACAGTCATCCCTGGTAGTGCTAAGCTACCGTTAGCAAATGGTGTCAACTAGCTAACTAATAGCCAGAAAATATGTATGTGCCATGTGTCAGATGTCGCTTTAGATGTAAATGTCAGCACTGAGCCATCAGGCTGTGTGTAATTAAGTAATACTTATGTCCTTATTTCGGTCAACAGTTCTTGGTAACAACTTAATCCCTGAACTTAACATACAAGCTAATAAGCTAACACGCGGCCTTTTAGCAGCACCAACATTTCCTTGACAACTCGCCCGAAGTTCGCAGAGCTCAGCGCCGCACACGGAGCTACGAGATCCCAAGGCTGACAGGCCAAGAAAATATGAAGGTTTTTACAATATATCTATGCAGCCCAGCCCGCAACACAGCCCACTGACACTGCTCTGTATCTGGATATATGATTGTTGTTATTACTCTAATGTACTTTGGTTGTCTTACCTGTACTTGATCTGACAGCACAGGATTTGTATGCGGGTTGTGTGTGTGGCTCTCTCTCTTCGTTTTCCACAAGATGGCTGAGCACGGGTCACATGACACCAGATAAAACCCGTATGCCACCGAACAGAGGCAGATTTGCTGACTGTTCCACATTCTTAAAACAATCAACAACGAACCAGGTGAACAATTATTTTATTCACACATAGTAATTGGAACATATGTCTTTACAAGTCACTTTTTATTATTTATTGTTGTTACATGAACGACTTTCTCAGTAATTACAGAACAAATATAAACGTTTTTACACTTTCGAAACATTTTAGTGCATTCCCATGCATTTTGTTAAATTCTATTTTGTAAAGATACTTTATAGCTTTACGAGATTACTAAAATAGTAATCACGCTTAATGCTGAATAATATTATAGTTGGGTACGACAACCATCTACTGACAGTTTCAATAAACCATAAAAATATAATTTCTCTGTTTCCCGTAAATGCCTAACTATGAGGTAAAAGTTTGAAATATTACGCACGGAGATCACGTTGGCTCGTTGGTCTAGGGGTATGATTCTCGCTTAGGGTGCGAGAGGTCCCGGGTTCAAATCCCGGACGAGCCCATCTTTTTTTAATCATCAAAGAAATTGTGATTTTAAAATACTATTTAACATGCGTCATTGTACGTAATCATTTGAAACATATTTACAGTGCGAATCAAAAAATTGACCCCGACGTGATTTGAACACGCAACCTTCTGATCTGGAGTCAGACGCGCTACCGTTGCGCCACGAGGTCTGATTCAAATCTTACATGAACAGGATATCTAATAGTGCATACGACAGATCAGGGTATTCGTTTTATTATATGATAATTTTACTTAATGATATAAATGTAAGATTTTGCTATAAATCTTGGTTGTAATTTTGGTAAAGTGTATAATTTTATTTCCTGGTTCGACAGTGATATGAATACAAAGAGGTAATGGACTCATGGATCCGACCTTCATACATAGGCCTACTGAATGAAACCTAGCAATCATAACCATCATGGCAACTTGTCTAAACACGCTAATACATCTAAATGACAACATCTTTATTTTTTCCTAAATTAAGGATTAAACTGACAGAAAAAAATGTTCTTCAAGCATAAATTGTGGATGGAATTTTCGTAGACAGCCTATTCCGTGTTAGAATCATATAGCTTACTTTCATAGAACTCACAGCTAGATTTTTCCACAAACTGTCACTGATTTAACTGATGTAAAACTATGATTAATATTTATTATAGCCACCAAACCAAGTAATAATCTCGTGTCATAAACTGTATTGATAGTGACAACATGCTGAGGGTGTTCTATGTGTATCTTTAATGGTTATGAACATTCACGGTCCTGGTGAGAAACTGAAAAACTATTGGCTAATGCTAGCTAGCTTCTGGCTGCAATTTTATGTATGGTAGAGTTGTTTAACAGCACAAATCAGCTCACCTTTGGTAGTTTCAGCTAAGTCAGTTCTTTATGGTCAGATTGTGTTAAAATAAAGCACAGATTAAGTGTCAGACAGAGCAGAGCCTACAGTTAGCATTATATCCCAGGGAATATTGATGACATCACCTGAAAAGTATCAATACTTTAAATTACATGTGTAATAGTATAAGTACAATTATCCATGAACAAATTAGCCTTCTTATTGACATGATTTTTATCTAAAAATGCTCCTCAGTATTCAAACTGAGTGGCACTGAGAAAGCACTCAGCTGTGTCTGATCCCAACGTCTGTGTCAGTGATAAACGTGCATGCAGTCTGCAGTGTCCCTGTTATTTAACTGTTAATTGGTTTTCTGCAACTGTTAACTTGATTTTATTGTTCTAGATGTAAGGAACAAACTAAATATTTAGCAGTTATAGACATTTGTATTTGTTATTAAACTATAGCAGCTCTTTTCACATTTTTTATGTTTATTGAGTTTCTTACAGGAGAAAGGTTCATTGTTCACCACTGACACTCATATATGGCCTACCTTTGACACTCCCTAGTTCCAAAGGTTGTGATGACATCTGCATAACCCAGAGGCTAATTTGATACACATTCATGTAATAGGCTACAGGCACAGCATATTGTTTAAGTTTTAGTTGCCTGGAGATGGCTAGGCCTACAGCTAATAGGCCCATTGTAGACTGATCAGACATGCATATTTACCCAGGACAGCACTGTGTCCCATACCCCACTACAGCTATACTAAACCATTCATTTGTCCTAGTTTTACACAAGAAATATCACAGGTGTCCCAATTTTTGAACAGTTTGATACCCACCAACAGTCAAGAGAGAAATAAATTGCTCAGCCAAACATATTATTACTAACCACACTAACCAGGGGATATTACAGTTTTTGATTTTGAAAATCTGGTCAGCCTAGCCTACTGGTACCACAGAGTCAAGAAGATTACATACAAGACACAGGCATTATAAACATGTGAATTTCAAAATGTAATTTTAATTCACGTAGTTATAATTTATCAACCGTGATGAAGGAGCGTCCCTCCTATCACACCTTTCATGGGAGACACTTCTCCAATTAAGGAATTTTCTCCAATTTAGGAATATATGTAACCTAGACCAGTGAAACTTCTGAGGACAACTCAAAGCTAGCAGCCGAGACCTGTCTAGTTGTCTGCCTAAAAGACTCAAATATGCAAATACAAATGGACGGAGTTTACTGAAAAAGAAATGAAAGGTGCCCTGCGTAAGTTTTCTGGTGGAACCTGCGCAATCTACCTGTCTTCATGGTGTTGTTGCTGTGCATAGAATGTTCCACAGTATGGCATACACTGAACAGAGACAAACACGTGCCACTTTACAGGTCAGATCCATGGAGAGGCGAACCTACTCAAAGTAATAATGTATCTTTTTCAAGCTATAGTGGATCGATCAAATACCTGGTGTATAGATATATATTTAATCCCATCCATCCATAAAGACAAACATGCCCTGTGCCAGATTTTTATTTTATTTTATTTTTTACATATTTACCCTTAGCGCTGTTGATCCCTGCTTACCTTTTACCCCACAGTTGCCATGGAAATGCTATTCCCATGGCAACCGGGCCTTTGTGGATGGCCTCGAGCCCCCACTTTAGAGGACTTTCTGAACCTTTCATTACACATTCTCCTCAAGCTCTACAAGTCTTCGAACTATGTAGGTATTAATTGTTTTATTATTTGGTTATTATGGCCATAAAATACATGTGCATACAATAGTTTTATTGATTTTGACTCAAGAAGAAAGTAAATTTTGCTTCAACAAAATAAAATTGAGATGTGATCAGATTTGTCAGATCAGGTCATAAAAGCCAGGGCATTGTAATTTTCTGTGAGAAAGGAAACTGGAGCTCTGTCTTTAAAGATTCATGAGCCTTCTTGAGAAGCTAACAGGCATGGATGCACAGCTAGAGAAAGTGGCCCTGTCAGAGAGAGTGGAGTGGAGAAGGGAGGGGTGGGCCTTGTGCAGACTGACAGTGGAGCTGGAGGTGGCACTGAAGGCCTAAGAGCGGTGCTAAGACTTTGAACGTTGGCGCGTGGGGCAGAGGTGAATGAACCCCGTGAGTGTTGGGGAATACCATGGGCTGAGGGTGGGCTCGTCTCTGCTCAGCATAGTGGCCGGCTGCGTCATGATTGGAATTTCCAGGGAGTGTGATGCTGACGCTGTTGGGGGCATCTTTCTGGGGGCAGGAGGACTTGGTATGTATCTAATGACAGTTCTTCATGTGCTGTTACCAGGACTGTACCAACAAAAGTATATCACCCTGCTTGGTTGATTGGCTTTGGTTAATGAATTCATGTTAATTGTGTTTTGTTGTATTTTGCAATCTTTTAGAAATTACAACAGGCAAATTCAGATCTAGTGTTGAATAATAATTGATGTAACCAGAGAGTTGTAAGAACTCTGGATATCTAATGCCTGGTATGTTTATTTATCATCAGTACAGGATCCAGAGACATGAAATTCATTATGATAGGATTGTCTATTCAAAACGGGCTTCCATTGTCCTTGGTACAGTGCAAGTTCATGATCACCTCAAGATGGTTCAAATTTACCTACAGGAACGAAAAAGGTCAGGAACAGTTGCTTCTTTCTTGTAGACTATCACTTTAGACAATATTTGACATTCAGTGTGTCATAGTAATGGACAAAAGGCATGATAGAGCGAGGCTAATCTTGGACTGAACCAGGTCTAAATCATGGACTACAGCTAGCACAGTGGTAGGCAGTAGTTAATGTGACGTAATCCTCAACAACAGCAGGACGAAAATAGAAATCATCACTACCAGTAAGAGATCCCTTATTCTCAACATTGTACGTAACCTCATGATACAGTTTTTTGTTGGTGGTATGTGCGTTAGTTATCCCAATGTTACCCAAAACTCTCAATTAAATATAGATGGATAAATTTACAAATTGAGGTAAAAAGATCTTAGGTGACATTTTCCGTGCAGTCTTTGATAGAGCTGTGTAACCATAGAACCAACTTCTCTGCGCTGCCAAGTCAAAGGAGCTCTGGAGCAGGAGCAAAGGCCATGGTTTTTAAAGCAAGACAACATCAGCATGCATAGTTAATGTGAAATTCATTCTTACTAATGATTTGATGAGCTTTGAATAATTAATCTCTCCTATATGTTAGCACCAAGTTGAAGTTGAACACCAAAGTGGAAATATGGTGTAAAATGGACTTTTAAGAGCTATTAATCATGTTATAATGATGTTCCCTCATAATTAGCATACTCACAGCCACACTGTGATTGATTCATGCATGTTTGAGTATTCCTTTTTTGTTTTGTACTTAAGGCATGAGTGCTCAGAAAATTCCCATTTTCATTTTCATTCCATTCCTATCTCCACCATAGACTGTGTATATGAATGGACATAGCTAACCCGCTAGCCACCGAGTTCCAAATAGAAAGTGTTCATGGGGGCACTTCTTGCTCCAACTGACTTTACTTTAAAAAAAATGTCACCCCCCTCTCTATAACTGCTGCAGTGAGCCTTGTAATTTTGGTCTTACAATTTTCTTATTAATCCACTCTACATGATTCTGATGTTTTATTTCACTATTGTGTATCTAAATAAATTCATATTCCTAATATGGACCTGACTCCAAATTAGACCTGGCTAGCATCATGAGCTTCATATCACTGGAGCCAAGCACTATGGGTGACATCACACTCCCTTAGTCCACTTTCTTATACAGTGTATGATCCCCACTTCCACTTTACTTTTTAGACTAATTTATTTAGTGGTCATACATGGTTGAAAAATGTATTGTAACCATTTTTCAATTAAACCTGAAATGCCGCTGAAGGCCTCTCAGTTCTCTACTTTTTAATTTTAAGTCAATAGATTTGCATATTATTGAGCCTCAACTGGAAATGTAAAATAATGATCTATGTATGTTACTAAATATTAAGAATAACTGAAGAAGACATAATATCCTTTGAGACTTGAAACTACTGTGAGTGGCATCTTTTTATATAATGTTTGTTGGATTCTGCCTTCTTTATGTCTGCTCCTATAACACATGGGGGTGACTAATGGACACGGTGTTCTCGGCAAAATCTTTTCACTCCTTCAGTTGCATGACATTTTAAGCACACACTTGCATCACAGACACCCACTGGACATAACACAGTTTCCCATATGGCTTATAAGGGAAATCAATAACTGTTGTTTTGCACAGTTGAAGGTTTCAGACCTACTAGCAGAAAAATGTCACAATAAAGATTTTATATTACTATTTTTCAGGTCTCCTTATATCCATTTACCCATTTGTAAAAGCATGGCTCAACATCAACCATATTCTACCATCTTTTGGTAAGTTTTCAAAGTACACATTGCTTTGGAGGTTTTCTCAGAGTTGCAGAAGAAAACGTCTATAAAAAAAACATTGGTTATCATGTTTGTTAGTGCAAAACTCTCATAGAAATATATATATATATATATATATATATATATATATATATATATATATATATATATATATATATATATATATATATATATATATATATATAAATGAAAGCTGTTGGGTCACTATTAGATACATTGACTGTAGTGTCAAAAAAAAATTTATTTTAAAATAAAAAAAAATAAAAATTTTGTATTTTGCTTCTTAAAATCTCCATTTGTTTAACATTACACTCACTGAAAACTCTATGAAATGTGATGTCTCAATCTCAAGCTGTATTAATGAAGACAGAGCTGTATGTAAATATGAGTACTTAGGTTTAAAGGTGCACTGCGTAACATTTGTAGAGGAGGGTCCACCGTCTGCTTGCCTCCATGGAAATGTTAATGCGTTGTCAAGCACTGTTCCACAGTGTATATTAAACCTATCACAAGGGAGACAAGCAAGTTACAGCACTACACTGCATTACTCCTCAGATCTGTGGAGAGTTGTCCCTATTCACAGAAAGAATGATTGTATTTTTGAGGAATAGAAACACCCATAATGAATAAACGCTAGATGGATATGTTTAATGTCATACCATGGAACATTTCAGGGGAAGCAATAACATCTCCATGGAGACAAGCAGTGCACCACAATGCACCTGTAAGAATAAAGGTTTAGAATAAATCTGCATTACTACTGTTATTGGTAAAAGCTGTATTTAATTTGAACATGACTACCTCGTATCTACAAATATTTTATGAAATTTACAGTTCCTTTAAGAAATGTAGCTCTATTTCCAGTACCAAAAAACACCTATAATTATAATGCATTGGATTTATGTAAGGGCTTTCAAAACTGCCAAAGCACTTTACATTGAAATATTTAATGGTCAGTTTATTAAAAGTGTATTGCCAACTGCTGAGCATTGTTTTTGTAGCAACAGTTGGTCTTTAGTTTCCACAGCCTCACCTCTTCACCACCACCAGTGTTCAGGACCAGAAGTGACATTTTACACCTCAGACTCTTCATACCCATGTTTTTTTGTTTTTTTTTTTGTTTTACACAGGAAACAGAGTGCATCCAACTGCTCCTAACCCTATCCCAGAGCAAACTATAGATGCGTTAAAACGTGATGGTGAGTTGTTAAAAAAGTAATTTTCTTTGATCAACCTAAGTGCACTCTGACATAATTAACAACAATTTTAGTCATTTGAAATAAGTAGTTTTCTTCTGTGCAGGAACTCAAAGTCAGCTGAATCTGGAGCGTTCCAAGAGCCGAATGGGAACGTTTATGGAAGGAGGGCGGCCAGGGGAGAATCCAGATGAAGGGTATAAGAATGTCCCGTGATCCTGTCCTATCAGCAAATGTGAACTTTCATAAATATTTCTATTAGGGTGAGATTCTAATTATGACCATGCTCTTTGCTGCATTAAAAAAAAAAAAAAACGTTCTCTTTTCTCTCTCTCTCTCTCTCTCTCTCTCTCTCTCTCTCTCTCTCTCTCTCTCTCTCTCTCTCTCTCTCTTTTTCTCTCTAATGAACACTGTCTTACTGATACTATTATTGTACTTTGGTAGCCCAGCAAAGCGATATTTAATAATTTAACATAGGCTCTTAGTAGTGAATTTATGAACAATTATGATACTGATACCATAATTGGTCCATTGCCCTAAATATTGAGTATAGAGTGGGATCTGCAATTGTCAGTGCTCGATCCAATTTAGTTCAAATACTAAAGTACTAACTATTAACCAGTGAGGTTTTCAATGCATTTTGCTGTACCAACAGAAACACACTGAATTTAGATCATCAAAGCATGTCTGCATAATTCTGCAAAAGTTGATCACATGTCTGCAATTTTTTACCTTATTAAGTAGCTTACTTTAATAAGTATTACCTCCTTTATCAAAACCAAACTATCTTGGTGGATGTTGTTACTATGGCAACGCAGATCACATGTCAGATTAGCTATTTCACACTGGCTACTCCATTAACCAGTGTGAGTGTGGACACAATTTTCATAGAAGCTACTACTGTCCATCTTCAGACACACTAGCTCACTGGATTATAAAATATGCAAAACAACAGCTTCTAATTATTTTACTACTCTAATGAGAGTTCATGTTACACAGGAGGCAGGTATTTACAGTAGTTCATTCATTTGGATTGATCTCTGTCCCTTGCTAATGTCATGCCATGATTTGTTCCAGACCATCTTCAGACATGCCAGATGTCTTAGCTAGACGTCAATTCAAGCAGTCACCTTCTGAACAAGACTTGCCATGAGAGTAACAAGTGTCTTGATGCAGGTGTTTTCATTAGAAGGGCTTTACATCTCAGTTCTTTCATTGTTTCCTACTACCTGAAATATTGTTTGAGCCATTAAACAGTAACCATATCCAAGACTATTGAATTGTTCTTTGTAAGAAGCTGAGAGTGAAGCTGGATCATCCATAAGACATACATGTACATTCGTACATGGACCAGCCCAAGCACCACAAAAAGCATCCCCTTAAAATGCAAACTGTGGACTATATCCAGGTGTTCAAATACAATACATTGACATTCAGGACAGAAGCAGCAACATCATTAGAGTTGCCAGAACCATAATTGAAACTCCCTTCAACATAACCCAGAGCACACATTCAGATGAGAAGAAAGAATAATAAAGAATGATAAAGTATAAACGCATCAAATCAAAAGTCTTCCCAGTCTTCCATCAGTACATGAAAGGTGTGACTGCTGAAGAGAAAACACATAAACGGGCCTGCATGCTACATTGTTTTGGGTTGTAAAGTTGACCCACAAAGCGCAGGTGCGTTGCCTGTGCAGGGGGTGTAATAACTTTGGAATGACACATTTGTGTGCCTTGCCTTTTGGGTGCATTTATTATAAGAAGGACCCACGTGAAAAGAAATCACAAGTGTAAGGCTCTAATATACAGCCTAATTTTACTATGTTTTGTGGTGATTACTTTTGGAATTTTAGAGTAGTGCAATATGATTTCAGATTCATATTCTCTTAATGGTTGCTAAATGGTTTTGCTTCATTAATCCCAGTGGAGCATCCTTCAGTCGTATTGCTTCACACAACAGGTTCAGGCAGTTCACGCGCACACACCCACCACGCGCTTCGGACGCAGGAGGGAGCCGTAAAGGCGCAAAGATACATCCAGAGGTTTACGCGCCAGATCTGGGCTGGAAGAGTCGCGCCCCAGGAACAAGACACCACCAAATGCGTCTGTGTTGGAGACATGCCATGTAACGCCACATGTCCACATCTGGCAAGAAATGACCTACGCGTCTGAGTTAAGCAATGCCATTTCATCTGATTGATCTCTCGGATTTGCGTTCAGTCTGTTACGTGGTATCCTGTGCTCGACACGATTAAATGGCTGGCAAGACCCGTGCCCTCAAGAAAAGAAGCACAGAAAGATCGATGGAAACCATACGTGTGGCGTTGGATTCAAGCGTCCGTACGAACTCTCATTAATTACGCTCTGAAATTACAGGGCATCGCGTTGGAAATACACATCGTAAGGATGAGATACATTCGACAAATGGTAAGATATGTGCAGCCTATTTTATTATAATCGAATGTTAAACATTAATCAAAATTATTAGATAATTAACCAATGAAACATTTCAATAGCACATCTCCAAAATGTAGCCTACTGTTCACCATCTGCCAGTCATAGTCTTCCCTCAGCCAGACCCAGGTATAAATATATTGAATAATTAATAATAAGTTTAATTTCAACACTGTAGCCCATAATAGTCACTGCCCATGGCTGCCTTGAGTCAAGCAGCTGCATCGCATTCTCGTCCAGTGTACTTGAATCATATCAGACATTCAAATACAGTCTATCTAGGCCTATGTCCATGTTACCATTTATCTCGAATATTTTTTTCTAATTTATATTAGAATTCTTTGGTTAACATTGCAGCATTCAAATCTCAGTCATTATGCCTACTTCAAAAAATAATGGGCAATCTAAGTGTTATGTTCACATAACAGTGTTATTTTTTTTTCTGAGAGTGTCAGATCTGTGACGAAGAGGAAGCTTCGCTAGAGCCACAGATGTAATTAGACAACTGATAATAATGTGAAGTGGGGTGTGTGCTATTTTTTTTCTTTCACAAGAAACACATTTGTTATGCTGAACTGTAATTTGTGTTATTCTTTCAGACATAATGATTCTCTTCAGTGGACTGGACAGCCACCAGTTCTCCAAAGCCATGCACACCACACTCTAAGAAGACACAGTCATGGTCATCACTGACAGGAACCCCACAGTCTCCAAAAAGGAGGCCCAGAAGAAGAAGTGGAAGTCGCGGCCGCATGGTCTGCCGTCCCCAGCCCTATGCTGTGCATGTGGCCTCTGCATCATGTTGGCAGGACTCAACATCACTCTGGTGGGCGCGTTTGCCTTCAGCACACTGGTGCCTTCTGCCAACCCGCCCATCATTATCGGACCCATCCTCCTGCTTGTGGCCTTCTCCTTTTTCGGGGCGTGCTGTGTGTGTAGCCGTCTGCCTCCTCCGCACAGCTCACGTCATTCAAACGTGGGTGGCCGGGGTGCTGGGTTAATGGGACATGGGGGCCTGGCTGGAGGAGCCACCTTTGAGATAGAGACCAGCGAGCACACGCTGCAGGACACCACAGCGGTACAGCTCAGCCCCACCTCCTCTCGTGGATCCTCACAGGTGTCCAGCCCAGAGAAGGTGCTGGTGAATCAGGATGGAGCAGGGACATGTAAGCTCTTCACCATGGAGGCCAATGGTCCATCCTCTCTGTCTGGCACTGCAGTGTACTCAACCTTCTCAGGAGGAGAGGTCCGGCTCAATCTGCCGTGTGAGCAAGTGGGCACCTAGCACCTAACCCCTGCAGGACCTGGCACTGTACATAACGCTGATTAGGGGCTTGCATAGTGTCAACATGTTTCATTGTTTACTGTATCTTGCAACAATATGATTTTTCTGTGCTGCCAGCATGCATACTCATAAGTCTTTAAACTAGGAAGTTGGAATAAAAATTCCTACCTCTGATTTAAGTCGACAGGGTTTTTTGAAAAAGAGGCACTGATAACTTGAGTACCTTTATTTTTTTATGAAGTGGCAAAGTTGAGGAAAGCAAAGGTTATTTTTGACAGGTTAGTTAAATGACTACTCTGATTTGTACATGGTGACATGTGGCATTTTGTGAGCTGTTCCCACTTTTGGGGCATGAAAAATTCTAGGTCACAGTGGTGGTTCTAGAGCAATGTTTCATGCCAGTTTTTAAATGGTGCTTTAGAATGTATTTATAAAATAATATTCAGGAACTGTGCCCACTATCTATCATCTTTAAAAAATGAGCAAAGGGTTTCCAAAAATCGTCATTCATACATCCATGCCATTGTTAGCATACATTGTGCCCTTGATTTAAACCAAGCACCATTTGTTGGAATGCAGCCATATTTAGTCATGCTTTCATAATAAGTTAACACAATAATATTTCAAAAATCCTTTGAGGAACTGAAACCAGTGGCATCTGTATTTATGGACCTATCCAGCTTGTTGTCCTGATGCATTTCACAGATACATTAGGTAACCACTTGGATCTCAATATTTTGATAATCTACTGAACTTTTTGCATTTGACTGTTTCAGGCAGTCTCATTTAATGTTTCTTTTCTCTGGGCATTTGAGTGTGTGCTGCTGAGGATGCCCAAGCAAAGATTTCAAACAGGGATTCTTATACTGTATGTGCCGTGAACATAACATGATGCCACTTACCTGAAGTTTGTGGATATTGTGCAGAAATATTATTTCTGGTCAAACTATTTACTTTTAAAAGAAGCCACGCAGATTAGTACTATAAATGCATTACGAATTACCCATCACTGTGATCTCTTTGATTCATGACTGAGTAATGAAACAAAGTTTAATTTTCTTTGTAAAGAAGATTGCCTTAGAGATTTCAGGTTCATTATTAAGAGGGCTATTTAAAGATTTTCCCCCAAAGCCATTTGAATGACACTGAGTTCTATAAAAGCCTCAACATATTTTAAAGGTTGTAAAAAGTGCATGGTTTTATTCTCTCAGCTCAAGTTCATTATCAGGAGAGTGTTTCAGCCACTTAACCCAGTATGTCCCAGAACAACCCAGATTTCATTGTGATCCTATGATGTTTTGTCCAGCATGTTCAGGTTCATGAAAATGCATCGCCCTCTTGTGGCCTATTGATGTTATATGTTTTTTAAGGATTTGTGTAGCATTTATGGACAAATATTTTGTGATGGTTTAAATATAGGCAAACGTGATCCTAAAAAATAAAAGTGTAATTTTCATTTCTGTCCTGTTATGTTTATGTCACCATCATAAATGGGCTGCTAATGTGATTTAATTCTGCATGCAGTGACAATTCTTTCCAGCATAAATTCTAACTTCTCCATCATGTACCACTTTTTCTGCATAGAACTGAATTATACAATCTACAAGGAATGTCAACCGCATTCTTCACTATGTAGTTTTTTTGGTGGGCAGGCCGTTATTTGCTTGTCTCCATCAAGATTTTATTACTCTGCCTGGACTCAGTATGATATTTTTACGTGGACAATTTCTTCCAGTCCTAAGGCGCTGACAGCAGAGGGCGCCAACACTTTATATATGTAATCTTTAATTGAGTTATATAAATTCAATCAGTCGTTTCAGATCATAGCCAACAGATGTCAGTAATGTTGCGCACGTTACATCTGTGTTATCCAAACACAAGCACAACACATCTGAAGAGTACAGCAAAAGACTGAAATATAATACGTGACATGCGTGTTTGTGCGTGGATCTTTTAAAATTATTATAGCTTTAAAGGTTAATTACATCACTGCAATCTTTTTATCATCTAGAAGGCAGTTATTCCTGCTCAAAATTATGAGTGACCTAAATGCATTCTGGTACTTTTGTTGCATGATCATTTGGGGATGCTTGGTGTTAAGTTTGTCAAGAGGCAACAGATGGTGTGTTTGAAGTCACTGTTTTTGGGTGAGAAAAGCAAAGCAAAAATCTCAGCCAAGACACATACTGTGCAAAGGTTTTTTTTTTTTTTCTACAAAACTTAATATTTTGAGATGTTAAAAAATTCTTACAGTGCAAATATTTCCAGTCATAAGGCCAGTGATTTCCATGTTCTACAGCATGAGGGCAGATTGAAGCATGAAGACAATATTAATGCCTTGTCTTTGCAAAGGTCAGAGGTGAGGGTTTGCTACTGCAGTTTACCTGACCAGACTCAAAAACACATCTGAATGGAATCAGTGAACAGCCTTTGACCGTCTTTGCGAATCATTTTGCATAGTTTTATAATCATTTAAAGTACATGACCCTGAGCACTTGGTTTTTACAACAGTAAAATGAGGATTTTATTGTTCATTGCTAACTTTCCTCTTGCAAGGAAACACTGAAAGTGTAGTCAGTGGGCTGGCTGGTTACGTAGTTAGTGTCCTCTGCAAAGAGAAGTTAAATTCTCAAGCCTGTATCCATGTCCTCCTCTTCCACCTTCACCATCTAAAGATATGTTAGGTGAATAATAGACTCAAGTGAATGTTTGTTTCAATGTTAGCCCTGATTTGTTGGCCACTCTCCAGGTTGTATCACACTGAAGCACAAAATTATAGTTGTTCTATTGATGGGTTTACGTTTCCTGTTGTATGGACACCATTTTGAGGACTTCTGACCATTAAAAATATAGAATATTTGTCTTGAATTGTTAATATCTATGGCATCAGTCTCTTTTATTACTCTAAAACACATGATTAGTTTTCATAATTGCATGTGATGATGTAATGTCTTCTAGGCTATTTTATTACAGTTAAGCTGTAATTAAATAATTAAATAAATACATAAATAAATAAGAAAAATATGTTTAATTTCATACTATGGAACATTTCAAGCAAAGCAGTAACCTCTCCATGCAGTTAATCAGGAGGTGGTCTCCCCACCAGAAAAGATACAAAGTGCAAATACTCACAGTGATCGGGATTTCCCTACTACACCAAAAATCTGTACAGCCCAGTGATGATACCTGCTCCACTACATAAGGCCTTTAGAATGTTGTAAGGTTTTATAAATACTAGCAATGTGTGTCAGTGGATGCAGAAAGAGATACATCAAGTATCTGTACAAAATTACTATGTCATTTTAAATGTTATTATTTCATAGAGGCCCACGGACTGATGGAGTCAACAATAAGAGTAAACTAAAACCAGTATAGTTCATGATGTGCTGTTTGTTTGCCTTGTACTGTCCGGGCTCATACACACCTGTGATCACTCGGCCCTGAACTGCTCCAAACCGGAGTGTGGCGGCTCTCTGCTGCTGCTCTCAGTGCTCGCGGCAAGTGAGTCTGCGGAGGAGAGAGAGGATGAGGAGTAATCAAGCCGAAGAGATTAGGGCAAGACGAGCTGCTGAGGATCTGTGAGAGAGCAGACACTGGTTATATAAGGTCTAACCCAGTTCAGACTGCTCCAAAAGACAGAAGGAGCCGGAGGAGAGGAGCAAAGCTCTAATGAAATGGGGTGAAACTTCATTTGTGGACTATATTCACCAGGACATAATAACAATATAGTAGATAACTCAATATCAAGGTATTTCTACTGTGATTAAAGTAACTATGTGTAACCCGTGCTTACAGTTTTAAATAAGGTTCTACAAAAAGGTACTAAACACCCTGAGGAATCATAAGTTAATCTCATTCTCTCTCATGTGACTGCTGAGAACCTCCACAATTCACTCACTGAGCTGCAAAGGCTGCACTAGCACCTATAAATGAGGCTGCTGCCGTTTAGACAGTGACAAGTCAGAGTCCATTTATGTTTAAACCAACTGGTTTTCAGCATTGAAACTGGCAACCCAAATGCAAGGCTCATTCTACTTTTTGATTGGATAATCAATTTAAGAACCATCAAATTGCAACATAAACCCTTTGTTGTAAAAGGGCATGGGGTCCACCACCTACTTGTCTCCTTCTTCAGCAGTATGGCATTAAACTCCACAGATCTTACCAGTAACTTGGCCTTCTTAAAAATCCTGGAGCAAATCATCATCATGTTGAATAACCAACATAACAAATATAACAACTAATAGTCTAAACAAATCCACTCAGTCACTGGCACTTCCTGGTTTTTCAGTGCTTTTCTATATGAGACCATTGCACAGAGGACAGCTCTCCACAGATCAGGGGCTTAAGATCCAGCAGATTTTGATTGACCCTGAACAAGGCTTTAAATCGTACTAGCACCACCCTCTGCATACTAATGGACACCCACAATGGCTCCCTATACCATTCTTAACTCTCCATTCACCCCCAGTAGAAAGCCATTTGTTCAAGTGGCCTGCTGTTGCATAACCAGAGCTTTTTCATGGTGACCCCAGGAGAGTGAAATGTATACACAAGCACATTTGGAAACATGATGATCGCCTGAACAACATTAGTTAGTGATTTCCTATTTCTCAGTGTGTATTTGTCTTATTTTAACTTAATGTCAATAGCATTTTCTTTGAATGTTATCGTCTGTTTGCTCAAAGAAATCAATAGCACAAAAATAGTACAACCGATGGCAAGTTTTCAACCTCTAACTCAAATAAACCCTGGTGTTTTGTTGCTAAATTAACCTTTGGTTTAAAAAGTTTGCACAGAATTCATTCACTGATAGTCAGATAGACATGTAACCCTACGTTCTGTGACTATGCTATGGAGACATTACAAAACGCAGCCAATGTTCAATTGGGATACCCCACAGAAAAAAGGTGATAAACAACTTGACATTCCTTAGGTGCCCGCTAGAGGTCTCTATTTGCTAGAGAAATGATGCTGTGACAATAAATGTAAGGGGGAAT